TGCTTAAGAATCGAATATCAAGTTAACCGTAACGAATTAACAGTGTTACATATTTCATGAATACAAAAACTTACCCACGGAAGGAGGATATCAGTGCACTAATTACAAATAAACACGATTGTCACTTAGCCACTATTCATCAAATAGATTTAAGTTGCCGGCATTTTTGCAACAGCAGAGACGAGCGCGCGACGCGGCGGTCAAAGATATGTGAAATCAGCTGTGCAGTGTGCGGTGAAGCTAACGGGGCTGACCCCCGCTCCCCTGCCGTAGATAACCAGATAAGATAAATGCTGTTTGTTTATGGACAAACTTAGCCGCTTAAAGTGCGTGACCATGCCGTGGGAATATTAAAAACTAAAAAGTAACTTCTTTTATTGGTTTTTACTTTTTTAAGAATTGGAATGGAGTTATCCTTCTCCATGCTTCATGCTATATATTCATGCCCAGCGGTTAGCTTGATAAACCGTGCTTATATGCCAGCTCTCTAAAAGCTTGAGGTCTAAGGATACCTCTGAAGTAAATATCACTTAGAAAGCTGCTTATTATGTACGACAGATGACATCTCGTGTAGGTCTGCGTGTTCTGCATAAGTGCAGTGTTTTCACTCTAAAGTTAACAGGATGTACCGAGAGTATATACCGACTGAGACAAGAGCCAAAAAAATTCAAATGTGTCATGTAATATCATTATCGTTTGGGTTTTATAAGATTATAGACGTGGAGATTCGATGCCTACTGAAATTTTAAATATTAGTGAAGATTTCTTGTATCGTATGTTGCGTATCTCGTCATGTCGTACATTACTACTTTTTATCATCATAATTGACGATATCGGTAAACTTCTGGACGTGGCCTATCTCTATGTGAGCTCATTGCCCATGTTACACATATAAACATTAAAGGAGAGTACCCTTACTCTGTAAGTTACTCTCAATAATGCACTTAATAAATGTCAAAATTCAAATTCCAATCTTGTATTGGTCTTAGGTTTTTACAATAACTGGAAACAAACGATGCTCATGTCAGCTAATGCTAAACATAGATGGCGCGATTTGTTTGAAAAAAAAAATAAGTACGAAGGATATCTTGCCAATAGTAAAAAGTAAAGGAAGATACAGAAGAGATGTAATGCCAGTTTTTGATCGTGTGATAAATAAATAGGCCTACTCGTAAAACATGATATGGTTTTGTTGTATGATTTCTGCCGCCCTAACAAAAAAATTACGAAATACTAGTTGTGTAGTTTGTAGTTAGTAATCCTGAAAAAGTAATAAATGTCCATCCATAAAAAAGAAACTCTTGAAAAACTTTCTTATAGTCGATAGATAGATAGATTCCTCCTTTTTACGTAAATTAGGGAATATCTTCTACTTCAGAACTCGTGTTTTAAGACGTAGTATGTTCGTAGACCCTATGCGATAAAATAAACAACGTCACGTCTGCATGTTTTGCTGGTTTTTGTTCTTAAGGCGTTACATGCTCATTTTCAGAATCCTACTGATCCTTTCAGAAATTTTGTCTTAACCCAAAAGGGTTAGATTAGACTACAAGTGTCATTGAGAGTTCTGTAGAACGGAGACCTGAACGTTTTGGAATATGGAGCTGTAACATATTCCAAAATATTGTGGGGGAACATAAAGGAGAGAGGATAGGAAAAGGAGGATCCTCAACCAGTCTATCCACTGACTGGCCGGCCCAAAGGCCCCAGTGCCTAAGGTCGATTTAGATTATCTTAGTGTTTAGGAGAGTGTTAGGATAGTACTTCAGTTGAAACATGTAAGCGTACATCTTTAGTACGATTCTAGACTTTCAAGTTGAATCAAAATAGAAGCTTTTTATTTTTGTTTCAAGGATTACCGCGCCTGCGCCTCACCCCCGAGTGTTCCTCTCGTTATGTGTATGTGTGAAACCAGGTTCAAACAACCGTACGATACTTCATTAATTTGCCTAATTTCAATATCCTACGTACTATGTACTATTGAAACGTAACTATCGTAAACAGATTCGTACGAAATTTCGAGGGTCTGTTAAAAATTTATGATTACAATAGCCCAATAACGATACAGTTTTTAGAGAAAGTGCCATCTATTGGCTTATTTCAGTAGGAACTTATCTGTCACGGCATCGACAGGAGATAACAGCGTTAATTACAAACACAGAACCACCAGAATGCACTGCCAAATACTCACGATTTGTATTGGTGACGCAGATCTGGAAGTCTTTGATAACATTTTAATACCAAAATTTTTATGATAAAAATAAAGGGCTGGATGTTCATCGGATAATAGGTATAGTATCACTTAGAGCAGAGACACCATATTGTTCAAGGGGGAATATACTCGTATGTTGTTCCGACTTTGACGAAAGAGTGCAATTCTTATGAATAGAATTTTTGCAATTTGAAAAACACAAGTTTACAAGTGTAAACTGAGTTAACCGTTTGCAACATTTGATTTTCACGTTTCATATATTTCTAAAAGTATTTTTAGCCATTTCCTGACCGCGATAATTTATCGTATATGGATAACAGTTGATAGACGACAATTTTACGGACCCTCTCGTACGATAACTGCCTGGCTTCAGGTTGCGAACACTGTTGAAACCACGGAATTTAGTCAAACCTTTAGGAGAGTGCATAAGTGCCGTGGGGAAACGCGTACGTGTTTTTATTCTTAAAGATGGCTAAATGGTCGGAAGATACAACTATCAAATTTGTGTCTGAATATGTTGTTCACGAATGTTTGTGGAACGTTAAAATTAATTTATACAACATCCGGCTGCTTAGGCAAAACGCTTAACGAAATTATATTATTGTTTACCGATTTCGAAAAAATCTATTATTTATTTGTCTGAATTTAAATTGCATAAAATAAAGCGTATTTCATTATTCGTTCATGTGGCTAGAAAACTAGCTCAACTTCCTGGAAAAAATTAAACAATCACGGCAACGCAGTAATGACAAAGGAATTGTTTATTGTACTAAATCACTTTAAACATAATCATACCTGCTAAATCGGCCTACAGGTAACAATAGACATCAGCTTTCATATTGCCATGACGTACAATGAGACAATCTTGAGACTAGAATTTTTGTCGATTAATTATCTGTTTGCCTTTTATATTAGAAACATTTATCAATAATAAATGTTTGTCCTTCATTGTTTATCGATTATTTCAATATCTGGCTTTTTGTATTACAATACCTAATATATAAATATTATAGACTGATTACAGAGCTACGATCATTTTGTAAAGAAATGCCTAGGGAATTTCAGAGTGAGAAAAGTTTTATATGAGTAATACCATATGTCGAATTATCATTAGTGAGTGAAACTGGCGTAAATATAAACCCATGACCGAGTCGCATATTTTAATATGATGAAAGGGCCGGAGGCATCTCATCTGAATTGATAATGTCGCTAATTATATATTAGTTTGAGGGTATAAAGTTCGAAATCTTTTATTAATTGGAACGCCACTTTTCTTGAGGAATTTTTGATGTTGGTGCCGGACTATAAGTGGGTATAATAAAATGAAGTATGGATTTTTGTCATAATTGTTAATTATTTATTTATATACTTGAGTGTAAAATTTTAATTACCGATACGGCTGATAGATGACAGTTTGAATCACTACATCAGATGATTTTTAGAGACTTTATTTATGTATTCAAACGACATTACATTAACGATCACGTAGATAGTAATTAAATGTAACATTATTGTCCCTGGCTTGCTTAAAATTTTTTCTCTAACAAATTAAATAAAAGTACAGCTTGCTATTATTTATTTATTTTTCTATTGATATTGGAACTAGCCTGACGACAAGCGCCTTAAGATTAATAATCGAAGTAATCATAGCAAATGTCATGTGATAAAGTAAGAGAAATATTCTGGTTCTGCGTAGTATAACCCTTGCAAGCGCTTCCTCTTCCAAGTACACTGAAATCTTGAATAGAATCGCGCTTTTTAGCCTTATATTACAAACATTTTCCTATAAAGTATCCCACTGTTTTAATAATATGTATTATTTAATAAGTATAATTGATTAATATATAGTATGTTGTCAACTTTAAGAAACCATGATAATGACAAAAAAATTATTGATAAGACACGAGTTAACATAAGAACTCCGTTATAAATGACCCCTGTCCGATCCTTTTAATGTCTGTAGAAGGTTTGTCCGTAAAATTATAAACATCGTTATCTTAAAGTGAAATCTTCTCGGGAGACTGTAAGGTTGTCGATGAAGATTGCGAACTCATACTAATAAACTGCTTATCATTTTGTAATCGTATTTTTATTGATATAATTGTTAAAATTTTCTATACGGCTAAGACATGAATCACACATCAAATTGTGAGAGCCATTTTTATGTTTTCACGACATTACATTAACGACATGTAGACATTCTAGTTGTAAATTGATTATACTTGATGTAACATTTCTCGGAAAATAAATAAAAATCGCTTTTCTACTCATTTTTAATCCTGAAGTTAAACCTAAGATAACCTTAGGTCAAATGAACATCATTAAATTATCATTGATGTTTCTGGTAGTGTAGGACCCGCAAGCTCCTTTCAAGACACTGAAATTATAGTACTTTTTAGCATTTGAAAACTCGATTTCTTCGTATCGTCTTTGTTATTGAATTTCGAGTATCAGTTGATACATTTTATTTGTCAACTAAAAACCATTCGCAAAAGGTTCACAATCTTAAGACAGTTTTAATCTAAGGAAACTCCGTTTACAATGCTCCCGTTCTTTTAAATGTCTTACGTTAACAGTTATATCAGCAGTATTCAGTTAGGAGTCTCTGTATAATCGTAGTTGAGAGGCTGACGATCTAATAACAACAGTCTTTTGTTGAAGACGGGATAAATATGACGCTATATATTATCGTCCTGCTGTATAGTTTAATAATATAATTGTCATTATAAATGTAATATGTCTTGTCTAAAGTTTTACAATCTGTATTACTTCCAATACAAAACAAAAATCACATTTCATTTTGACCTTTTACAAAATACAACATATTATCATGGTTTGTACAGTTGCTAATAGTACAAACCTCTCCATCTGTGCATCTAAATACTCCAGTTGGTACTCCAGATAATGGCTCAAAGGTGGGTCTTACGGAGTCGCGAGGCAATTTGTGTCCATATTTTCGCGTCTTAAAAGAAGATTATGTATGGTGAGTACATAGTACACAGTTTTAAGTATGTAAATTGATTTTAAAATTGTATTATTTGGCTTTTTAATGGGTAACTACTACAGGAACAAGCCAAGATTCTATTAAAGTACAAAGATCATTCCACAGTTTCCCTTGATTTTTCTTATTAGTGTCTATTTAGGGATAGGCGAAGAGGAAGTAGGCATTTAATTTTAAACTATAGATTGACGGTTTGTGAGTACGAATATATAATGTATGACGAACATCGCTAAACAATATAGTTTTTATTGATCTTGTTTATCTGCTGAAGTTGTTACTTACATTGTAATGATGGAGGATGTCTATATATCTTAAATTCTTTTATCAATTTAACTTTAACAGTTAAACTTCACCAAAACGGCTTAACCGATTTCTAACATTTTGTCTATATTACCAGGTTGAATTTTATATCCCTAAGTGATGATGGCCAACCCTAAATTGTAGATCTTTACCAGTTTAAAACTGTTTTTACCGGCACGTGATCGTTTTCATCCAACCTGAAGGAGATCAGGCTGGAATCTAACCATTCTCCTCCAAGTTTTAATCTCAGTCAGTATTTACGTACGTATAATGTTCTTGTTCTCTTTATAGATTATTGATTATAAGGCTGATAAATGGAGACGTACATCATAGATTGAAGGAGACGATGCACCTGGACTGGAGCTTTGGTCTTTCGGAGGCTCTTTGCTATCACCACCACAGCTATCACTGTATTTTGCGAAAGGAATATATTGCCAAACAATTTTTCTTAACCAACATTTTTGAGGAAACACCTTGAGTATTAATATTTTTGACATTGTTACTAAAATATATTTTTACTTTGTAATTTTATTCATTTTTGTTAAAATTTAATTAATTTTAAACCTTTAAGCTGTACGGTTGCTTCCTTCTGTCATTATAACGTCAAAATGTCAAAGTGGAGGAAACGTAGATAGAGTATAGAACAATAGTCCGTCTACGGGAGGAAAGGAAACAAAATTATGAAAAACACAAAGAAACTTTCACGGAAAAAAGTAAGCCGGGCCACGTCACAATGTTTTGGTTCTGGGAATGGGGGCGCCCATAAATCACGTGAGATGTTTTTTTAAATTTTCTGTACCTCCCTCCCCCCCTGGTGAGATGTCGTGAGATTTTAATCAACCCCCTCCCCCATCCCCCAATCTCACGTGAGATTTTTCAAAATGTGGGTTCTTACGTAAACGCGTTGGATTGTTATTGTTAAAAGAAAAAAAAATTGCTTCGTGCTTTTATTTACGACTAAAACAAAATAAGTGAAATGTTGAGCGTTTAGGTATGGAGTTAGCGGGAAGTTGCAGAGATAGCCTTTAGGGTCAACCGTTTTCCTATTTTTTTTTAATTAGAAAAAAAAAATGCGTGATATTCGAGACCCCCCTCTATCCAACGTAAGATTAAATGAGATTTGACTCGACCCCCTCCCCCCTTAAACACGTCACGTAATTTATGGACGCCCCCTATGCAAAAAATATGAAATTTCAATGTATGTATTACCTTTTAAGTGTACTGTTACTGTACCAACGACGAGATGAGAGATACATTCAGTAAAACCGTGTAGGAGTAGAGTAGTTAGAGAGGGTAGTTTATTGATAAAGTTAATACGTATTTCTTAAGCAAATATTGAATAGTGTTAGTCTAATAGCCCTCGATTTTTCATAAACAATATTTTGGACCATGACAAATTAAGCCGAAAACGAGTATATCTTTATATAAGTATATAATTCTGCGTTACTGTTCTGTATATTACTGAACTCCTCTTAAACGGCTGGACCGATTTGAATGAATTTTTTTGTGGCACCCTGGATGGTTTTGAATTACAAACCAGCCCGGCGGATTGCGCTGCAGTCGGTACTTTTGAGACTGTTTACTATTCTAATCGCTTGAAATACATGCAGGACAACGTCTGTCAGGTCCGCTAGTTATATATATATATATATATATATATATATTATAATAATAATAATAATAATAATTGATCAAGGAAATCTATAAGTATATTATCCAGATCAGACATTCGTACACCTGTCGCATAAAAATTGAAATTTCAATAAATTATTTCGGCTATATTGCTTCTAATTGCTCCAGATATTTCATATCGCTCAATGTCGCAGATACGAATTGACGAATATCCAATGGACTTGAAAATTCCTAGCAATTTTTGTATATGTCTCATTCGCACTTGTTTGTTTTGCGGCTTGCCGTCTTGCTTCCGCGGGGAGAGCGAGAGGTCTAAATAATAATAATTTCTAATTACTTTATTTAAAAGTAATTCAAAGTCTGTTCGTGACATTCTAGTAAAGTTTTTGAATAATATATCATCTAATTCTTTACATAATGAAAATTTTGTCCTCTTTGCCAAAAACGATCGCACCCAGATACGCCTATTCCTTTTCTTTCTTTTTTGTTTTTGATTAATGATAAAAAAGCCCTACAAGCCGCCGCAGCAAGAACAATGTCGTCCATAGCGAGCGAAAACTGAAATGCTCGTGTATGACAGTATTGCCTAGTTGATGAAGTTACGCCATATCGCTCAATATTGTATTGCGCAGTATTGATGCTTGTAGCCGTTGCCGTAAATTGCTTGATGAAGTCGTGACGTCATATTTGACGAGTATTGTCTGGAATTGAGCAATTTTAGTTGCCCGTGTAAGCGCATCTTTAGTGGCGTAATTTAGATTTTAGTAGTAATATTTTTTTAAATATCCAATGATAGAAATTTACACCCTGATTTCCTTGTATTAAATAAAAATTAATAAAATTCAATAAAACTTAAGTACTTAGAAGAATTTTCACACCTTAAAAAAATATTAAAAAATAAACAATCCCACAACATTTTTAGTTTTAACAAAAAAATTTAATCAAATCATTATATTTACGATTGCTTTGGTCATAACTTTCAACAAATGTAGGTATTTATTTCAATCAATTTTTCTAGCGAACGAGTAAATCAATACGAAATTTAAACGAGAATATCTCTTAAATTTGAACTTCGAATAAAAACAGAGCCCTTATAGTAATTCTAGAACTATTTATAAGTGATTGAATGTAAAAAGAAACATTTACTCTATACGTACAACCCTATCAAACAATATTGAGCTGCCTGGCACTTTACATGTTTCCATGAATCATAACTTTCTATAGAATGACCGTATTATTTATGACTAGTAAATATTTTGTTAGGTTTTGTTGTGGCAATTATGAATGTTAGCTTTTTCATACAAAATTTTATTAAAATTGGTAAGTACAGCGGAAATTCAGTATTGTTGGCATATTGACGAATAACCTCATTAAATATAAACGATATTTATAAGTTTTATACTTTATTTCGTTTTACTCTTCACGTTACATAAATTTTAACACAACTTCATTACTAAGACCGGCAGGCCTGCCGCAGTCTCCGGATTGGCACTTTGCATCGCGTTTCCTTTTGAAGAACAACCTGGTAACATTTATTGAATGAGCGTAAGGATTTTTATTTTCTCGTCCGATTTGTAGGGTCCGGCATTGGCGCCACCACCGCCAGTGAGAGGATTGCGTCCTGGTTGAATTCCCGGGGGCGCCTCAAAACAGTCTGCCTTACAAGGAGCATCCCAAACACATGGCGGTGGTGGTTTCCAATGCACACAGCCCGGACGAGTACAAATTTCTTTTGGCGCTTCGACTTTAGGTTTACGAGGTCGTCCCCCGGGTCCTATAACAACCTTTTCATCGCTTGACGCGACCTCTTTATTATTAAATTGATTTATTATACTTTCTAAAGTTTTTTCGTCAAACACAAACATTGACGACACATTGGGACCCTGGCTAGAAGAATTACAAGGACAATCTTTGCTACCAATGGTTTTTTGAACTTTCGAGCTATTCGCTAAAGGTGGGCACTTACAGCACTTGGTCGTTTTATCTGCTTGTGAGTCCGGAACTATGCCTTTCAATTCACAAACAATGAATCGTTTTCCACCACCGGCAGCTCCACTAGAGTCATTTGAAGGGCCAGCTCCTCCACCTTGCGCTCGGTAATGTGCTGCCAAGGGCGCGGGGTCTGCCAGGCCTCGTGCGCGAGCTAACTGACTAGGGGCACATAAAGGATCAGGAAGAACTAGACATGATGGCTCTCCGCCACAACCAGTTCGTCTACAATCATGTTGTAGCCCGTTACGTTTAATACAATGACAGCTGTAATACATTATCCCACCACGAAGTTCGCGGCTTTTTGTTCGTTTGAGCTGGTTTTCCTTTTCATTCTTTTTTTCATCGCTACTCTCCTCCTGAGGTGTTGCATCACTTGATCGGCCTTTCTGAGGACAAAACAATGCTTATATTTTTTACGGTCACCAAAAGCCTCCAAACGTCCGCCGTGATGTAATGAAATAAAATTACCGATGCTCTCAGAAGCCGGGGAGTAGCGTTTTTTCATTTTATTACCATTGTGAAATTAAGTCAAAATCACTAAATCGTGTCACGTAGGTTTTTCCGGGTGGTGGGCGGCGAACACACGGCGGACAGGGCGGAGGACAAGGCTTCGGACAACCAGGACCATCTCTGCATAAATAGCGTATGGACCCTTGCTGGAAATACTGGCAATCTTGCAAACCATTGCGTTTGAATGCTGATCTCGGCAGGCACTGAAGCTGCACACAAAATATGTTGTAATTTTGATAAAGACGGTATTTGTAATGATTATGAATTTAGTAGATAGTATGACCCCCCCGAAAAATATATATACTTACTGGAGGACCACAATCTTCGTACTTGTAACATATCATAGGGCCACATGGTGAACACCTGGAAGAAGATAATAATATAAGGTAAGTAGACTAAAAGAACAGCATAAAAACCACACCTATACACACTTACATTTTGAAGAAATGGTTTTTATGGAATCACACAAGGAAGGAGTTTAGCTTTATATATTTTACAGATTTTTATTTATTTTTATTTTATTTTAAAGATTAATTTTTACTTGTAAATTTAGACAAAATTTCAAATTTTTTTACAAAATATTCATGTGCATTTGTCGAAAGACGATAATCTTCTGTCACTCGTACATGTTTCTTTTTCGAATTTCATTTTATTCTTCTTAATATAAAAATACCTGCCAGTATAGTCCTAAAATATATAAAGGTGTTGATCGATACTGATAGACTTTAATAATTATTTTTCCGCATTTTACAAATATTGTATAATGGTTCAGCATGTGGATTATATTTGTGCTTGATGCAAGCTGTGTTAGCTGGTCCACATAGTGGTGCTGGTAAAGTCTGGCAGAGTTTGGAAGATTGGCAGCCACTTCTTCGACAGTCATACTGTAAACCATTTCGACGTAGGCAGTAGCAGTCGGTATAAAGAATCCCTCCTCTTAGTTCGCGACTTTTGCAAGCTTTCAAAGGCGCACACATTTTACGTCCCATTGTTTTTATGTAAAAAAGTTTTGCAGACACAAAAATTTAATATAAAATACACAGGAATTTTGCTATGAATTTCTTATTGAAAATTTAGACTTTTTTATAGTTTCATCTAGATGGCTATGTTATAGATTTATATTTTTAATCTATGGTGTGCTAAAAATAAGACATAATATGTACTTTTTAATTAAAGAATCAATGAGTGCAGTGGTGGTTTAAGTGTGGGACTGGGAAAGGTCGTACGTTCAAATCCCAGTTGTGCACCAATAGATTTTTCTGTGCCAAATAAAGTGTGCTAGTACGGTGAAGGTAAATATCGTGAGAGTTCCGGTATGCCCTATAATTCGAGGACATGTGAAGGGAACAGAAGTCAAGACTCATAAAGGATGTTTTTGTTTTCTCAATTTCAATTTGTTTGTTCAATTCTTTAACCAGTTTTAATAGAATATACCAGTTTAATGAAAGTTATAGCCTTTCTAAAAATCTCGCTAAACACTTTTATCTAATATTTTTATAATGGCGTTACATTGTGTTACACAGTTCATCATGTTAATTAAGCATAGAAAATATAATACCTAACATCAAATATTTATTTAAAAAAAGTAGTTTTGTTTGTTTGTTTTGAGATGAGAAATATGTGTTGTTACCCTTTTAATTCGTCTTACAAAACCTCTATTTTAAATCCTCTTTGAAATTTTAAAATTTTCTTCCATTTTCAAACCTATAATGATATAAATAGCCGTCCAAAGAATTACAATCAGTAGTTCATTAAAATCTCCGGAGTCAAATAAACCTAAAAAAGGATAAAAAAAACCTAATAAGTTCAATTACTAAATATAAATATTTCCTTTCCTTTACTTCAACTTCAGTCGTATAAATCTTAATCAGTCAAAATGTAAGTATATCAAGATATTGTTTCAACTAATTATCGTTCTGGTTTTCTTAACCTTTCTTTCTTTTAAGGTGTGGACCTTGCGGTGGTTGCGGCGGATGCTGTGGAGGATGCGGCCCTTGCTGCCCCTGCATCACTATATACACGTGCTGTACGAAGATTTGTTAAGCATTATGAACGGGTCGTCTCTACCCTGGTACCGCGGACTAAGGTGCTTCGACCCTATGTGTTCAGTCTACTCAGTGCCGTCTTGTCTTAATAAAATATCCTAACCCATTGCTATCTTTTAATTTAGTTAACGTACAATTTACCTCCACACCGAAACACACCATAAATAATACCTTCAGCAAGAGCTTATGGGGGTTAGAGATAAAAACATTTATAATGGAGAATGACAATTTTAACAGCAAACTAAGGCTACAAAAATTCTGTCGTTTGAACTATCCTCTGGTGACTATCCAAGGTCTTAAACTGTTAATAGGTGGGTCCACACAGTGTGGACCCGCCTTATGAATATTGATATTGATTATATTCTTCATAAGAACTTATCATATTAAATATCCCGTGTCAAACAACGCTGGCTTGGCCTGGCTTGGCCTTAGCTTGACTGTTGAAGTACATTCGAATCCTCGAGCCGCGTTCAGGATTGTTTGTATGAAAATCTCTACTACAAAGCACACTAATCGCAATCATAACGTAATCGCCTCGCCTCGCGATGGCGAATATTGCAAAGGTCAACAGCATCAAACCTATTTATGTATTTAACGGTAGGACATATATTACCATTAGTTAGATCACAATTATAATATAGAATGGTTATTACGCGATAATTTTTTTACAAAAACATTACGTTAAGAAAATTAAGCTAATAAAACCAACATACTGCACAATAAAACTACCTATAATTAATATTATCACTAGCGAATTATTTTATATGCGTGCCAATAATTTATTTTCTCATTGCATTTTTTAATACTGGAATGATTGGTTACTGTACATATTTAAAACAACGAATATAAAATACCTATGGACAAAAATCTCAAGTCAGAGGCAAATGCTTAATAGAATATAAAAGTATCCTTTACATGTGTGCCGCATCACAATAAATTATTCTGACTGAAAAAATACTCTAGTTGACCAATTGTCAAAAAAAGGTTAAAAATAAAAATGTATTTCAAGTGGACGAAAGCGCGTGCACCTGTTAGTGTTAAATAAAAGTAATTTTAAAATTATATCAATTATCAGGATGATTAAAGATTATTTATCAGTATTCGAAATAATGGACAACAACAACAACTATAAAACATGGATAATGGCGAGTCTAACCAGTCTGTTTCATAGTAATCTTTCAACATGAAAGTCGCGGTCTTATCTCTATTTGTGGCTGTATGCGCAGGTGTGTTATTTTTTTAAATTATTCTATTACATATTTCGTATAAGATGTAAACTCTCTTTGGAGTAACGTATGTCCGGAGTTGAAGTTCGATGGTATAAGACTAGAGAAATATTCATCCATGTGTATTACTCGCGGTATACGATTAATGAAAAAAATAATGAAAGGAGTAATGTAGTACATTTTTACCTTGTCACTTTAACGTGATAGTGCTTTTAATTGTGTTGCTTTTACAATTTTAAATTCGAATTACATTTTTGCGTTTCTCCTGGTATTTTCGTTCATATTGTTTTACTTGTCTTGCATTTTTCGAGTTAGCAATGTTCTCGCGTTACGGGTGTATGAAGAGGAAAAATAATTTATTTTCATCTAACTAGGCGCACCACAACAGAGAGTCACTGGTGGAACTGAAGTGGATATTACGTCTTATCCCTATGTAGCTGCACTCCTGAGATACGAATTCGAATTAGGGGCTTACTCCCAAACCTGCGTCGGCGCCATTATCAATAACAGATCCATTTTGACTTCTATTAACTGTGTTGAGTAAGTTTAATTTTAACCTACAATTAAAAAGTACCTACTGATTCCTGGCAAATAAATATAGAAGTATATCTTAAATAATTAAGTAATTTTTCGATAACTACGCAAATTAGTCTGTAATTTTAATTACCATAATGAAGGTTGCGGGAGGCGCGCCACTCAACCCAACTCAATCGTTCGATCGAACGTAGTGCGTTGAATCCCTGTCTGTACACCAATAGATCTTTGGCGTAATTAATACATGCTCTTACAGTGATAGCTAACCTCTTGAAAAAGTCACGAACACAAAAAATGCAACACAAACCCAGTTTCAGGCACCGAATCCTGCTCTTCAACTGACTTTATATACATACATATTTATACATTAACACTTTTTTATATAGAAAATGTTTCCATATGAAATTTATGGTTAGTTATCAAAATGTTATTTTAGTGCTTTGTGTCAAAAAAATTTAAAGATTGCTTCAAGGAGACGCAACCTTCAGGTATAATTTTGACTCGCTGATTACAGGATTGATCCAGTTAACTACTGGCGTGCCCGACTTGGGTCATCCCTAGCCAGCAGTGGTGGTATTATCCACTATATGAGAGCTTTCATCTTTAACCCGAGCTACGACACCTACACGTCTGACGGTGATGTTGCCATTTTAAGGACCGCACAAACCATCCAATACGGAGGTCGAATCGCTGTAGCTGGCAGAAATTACGTTGTGGCAGATAATTCTCCTGTCACTCTTCTCGGATGGGGTGACATTCGTGTAGGTGTTTGTTAAATATTTATAAAGATTTAAAGGCGCTAGGTCACACTGTTAAAGCATTTGGTTCTGTTCAATATTTGAAAGATAGTGTCGGGGCTAGTGTCTGTCAATCATGAGTTTTGTTTCCTATAATTTTTGTATTATTGTAAACTGTATCTCTAACTACATCTTTTCCTTTTCAGTATGAAGGACCTCGCTCAGACAAATTACTAAAGGCCGATCTCATTACGATCAACCAAAATAAATGCAAAGAAAACTACAACATAATTGCTATGACTGTAACTGAAAATATGCAGTGCGCTGGCACTGCTAAGGGCGGCGCTGACTTCTGTGAAGGTGATGTTGGAGCTCCCTTGATTCACAATAATGTGCTCATTGGCATTGCCTCATGGCGGACACCAGTTTGTGGCCGGGCTAACTATCCTGGAGTCTACACTCGCGTTAACCGATACGTTTCTTGGATACAGTCAAACGCTTAAATTTGGAATATTAATAAATGTTTAGTGTAATTTTAGTCATTATTTTTACCTAATCTCTACGTAACAATTAGTAATCCCTACCCCTATGATGTGACACGTCTCGCCGCTAAGTACCTACGTTACGTTAAGCGGATGGTCTAAAAGAAAGTAGTTTGAACGTATACTATGTCCTCCAATGGCCGCAGTCATCTGAGTATGAAAATTTGTCAACACGAACTGTCATTTTCAATTAAATTTAGTTTTCGACTTTCGACATACACTTCTGTTATGGCATCTTGACTAAGGAACTAATTCGCCAGACGCCTCCCCGTAAAGCCACGTGACATATTACATATGCAAGCTAAACGTGCGAATCAGGTCTATAAACGATTCCCGTGATATTCACATTAATTTAATTTATAATCCTATATTTAAATTAAATTCATAAAAATCATAAAATAACATTTAAAAAATTTAACTTAACATTTTTCAAAATTAAGAGATTTTTTGATATCTCGAATCTTATCTTATCTTTATATTCCTAACGTAGGTATAATAATATTACCTAAATGCTTTTTACATAGTAAAATATATTATCATAAGTTAATTCAATTATCTTATACAAAAGATGTGGGATTAAAAGGATCAATCTGAACTTCATCTCTGACTTTTGCAATACAAAGTATAACAAATATTTCATATTTCTACCGATTTTATTAGCTATAGCTATGAAATATTTATATGAGAAACCGTGTTATTTTGTTTAATGACAATATCATCAAAAACATAACGTACCTAATACATACCGCAACAGCATTTTCATTAAGAGAAAATAATTAATAACAGTTGTTGTACACATTTACTGAATATTAAAAAGCATTACATTGCATCACATTGTGACAAGTACATATTACATAGTCTTAGTTTACCAAATTGGCATGCAAGGGCCGCAGCACCCGCAGCAGACTGGAACTCCAGGATGACTGCAACGCTTCGGTGCGCAAGTCCCGGGCCCTAAACAAGAGTAGCAAGGGCAGGGCTTGCAACGGTTAGGCCTGCAAAACGGTATCGCAACGCTGTCGCAGAATAGGTCTGGTTTAGGTACAGGTGTCGCAGGCTAGAACAATACAAAACATATGTGTTATCGTAGCTACATTTGTACTACGCACGTATAGCATTTGGAAGTTGATGTTTTTTTTAAATATATTTGAGTAAATAAGTAATAATGAACAAGCGAAAAGAGATGAGCCTACTTATACAAGAAGCTGTCTAAAAGCATTTTTTTAAGAAAGGAAATATTTTTATTACCTTGTCGCAAGGTGGGCATGGTGGTAGACATGGTAAGACTGGAGGTGCTGGACATGGTGCGGGACAAGGTCTCACTGGTGCAGGACAGGGAGAGCATCCTCCTCCTGGACAAACGGAACACTTGCCAAGATCGTTAATTGAGGCTGCACATGGTTTTGTCGAATACGGATAGCAAGCACCACACGGCATACCCGTGCAAACACACGGATCGTAACTGTAAAATGGAGCACTCATTTTTAATTTTTTTATAAATTTAATAAAAAAAAAGTTCCGAAATTTTCACTTGAAATTTATAATGGCATAATTGATTAATGTCATTATTTAAAAATTCTTTCCGGCAAAATACGGCTGAAAAAAGAAAGAAAAATTGTAATGTGTCAATAATTTCAAAACGTGACTTATACTTTCTAGAAAATCATAAATAAAAAATTTAAGTTAATAAAAATCTTTCAAAAATCAGTTGTACTTCTAAAACGAAAAAAATTGAAAAAAAATGTGTTCATCTATGTGCTTTTGCCCGACGTGCCCATCAATATTGCCGTGTGGCAATGGCCCCTGTCGGTTTAATTGTCCTCCACCGCCTCCCTGCTGTCAGCCTTGTTGTCCACCTCCTGTCCCTTGCACTCCCTGTCCGGCTTGTACATGCAATCCAACATTCAGACAATGTCCGGCGCCAGTCATTCCTGATTATGTGCCTCCCATAATACCCATGTTACCTTGCTGCAAGCCACGCCGAGAGCCACCGCGTGACCCACCACCTTATCCGCCACCAAAACCTGTCTGTTGCCCACCAATATTACCCTGTTGTCCTCCTCCTGAACCTTGTGATCCACCGCCAGTAAGTAGGCCATACTAAAATTTAAGAAAAGCCAAGAGATTGGATATACATAATATTTAATTGAAACGTTAACACGTCATAATATATAATTTAATATACTTACAGCATGTATGTAATTTAATATCAGGTTAAGGTATGCAAGCTCTTGTACATATATGGATATCTTTTTCAGGTAATTCCGTGTGTAGAACCCATAAGGTGTTACCAGCCAGTTCTGCCCTGCTGCAATCCGCAGTGCCCTACACCAATTCTTCCAAAGCAGCGCCCCATTTGTCCCAGAGCACCTCCCTGCCCCTATCCATGTCTACCAGTTTGCCGGAGCTCTTGTGAAGATTGTGAAATAGACCCAGTTACGAGACGAAGACCGCTTATCGTCCATGATAGCGTTTTCGCAAAAAGGCCAACGGCTTTCCCGAAGGACTGCCAGCAGCGCAAAAACCCCAATGTTCGGTATTCAGTCAATAATTGGATGAAACAGGTATGTGATATTTTTTTATGGTATGTTACTCCTATACGCCAACTTGTTTAATACAATTAACAAAAATATAAAAGTGGCCGCTGTGGGCTAGAATTTACCATTAAAATTGAAACATCGGATCGGGAGCATAACCAAATGAACTCATCTATACTCATCATATGTATATAATACATAGATATATTCTCATCATTGTGATATCTGACATCATGCTTTAATAAAACCTTCATAATAGTATTTTATCACTAATTCACTATGTTACAGGGTCCAACGCCTAACCTATGCTATCATGTTCCGGTTCCATTGGTTTAAGTCTCAAGATGTGACCAAATAAATAGTGTTTTTTAACTGTGTAGTACATAAAACACTGTGCTGTGGTGATAGTATGTGTTAATGATGTAAAGCTAAATCTAAATGTATGTCAATAAATTAAATTTTGTTCTGCTTTCTTGATTTCTTCCGGTGCCTACTTCGTAGTTTCCTCGTTTAGTAATCGTAGTATAAATACAATTTTGCATTACATGTCATTCGCAAAGATCGTTGTAAATGTGTCAGGCACTGATCACCTACTCACCTATAAAAGTAACAAAATGCACGAAATAGATGCAGGTTTATGGAATTCTTACTTATGTGAGACAATCCGATTCTTTTTTAAATACATAATATAATAATAATAATAATAATGATCTTTTTTAATTACATACGTGGCCTACGCTACTTTTGCCACTTTTATACCGCCTTGAGTACGAATATCAACTAGTATCACCTTTGAAAAATTATATAATAGTTTGTGGCTCCATCTGTTGTTCACTTACCTAACTAAATCACTTATGCATGAATGCCTGTACCAGTTATCATGATCTACTTTCAATAAGTATCCTATGAATCCTTTATAAAAAGTCTCATTTACACGATGCAAGTTTATTGCCTGTTGCATACAATAATGTTAGAGCAATAAATTACTTGCATGTTATATATATAACAGGCTTTATTATTATTTATTATATTATTTGATTTAAAAGTAACGAAAATATTTTAACAAAACGTTTTTTAATCTATAGACAGGATTATGACTAAATGATAGATTTTATAATAATCATAAAAGATAAGATAACGACTAATCCGTTTAAAAAGGGTTTATCACCAATTAATCGAATTGGATTATGGTAATATTAAATTATATATAGTTTTCATAAATGGAAATTTCCCAATAGTTTCCTTTTTTTGTATATAGTAAACCCCTCTATACCATTTACACAAAAGGGAAATTAAAAGAAAATGTTTTGTAGAAAGGGGTCTTGCGTGAGTTTCAATAAAAAGCTTCGTATTTTACTATACTTTATTGTTGTAGCATTCAGGATTCTCAGACATTTCTTGTTTATGTTACATTATCTGCGTGTGGCAGCTGTAGATATTGATACACGGATTCACTGGGTAACAACGCTGCGTTGGTGGTATATTATTCTGACACAAGTAAGGCCCAGGCCCACAGTTTGAACTCGGGAATGGCACGCAGGCTGGAGCGCACGGAGGGGGTCCACAGCCACTCATGTTCATTATTTTGTATGTAATCTTCAAATTTCACAAGGATTTAACCTGAGGTGGTTGACCAAATGGATACTTTGTAAGGACTCAAGAGCTTTTATAAGATTCAAACCAACTGGATTTTATTAAAAATCGAGAAGGTTGTGCACCTAGTGTCGCATTGAGGATTCCGTAGGAAATTTTTCATGATATTTTTCTATTGATAAGTTTAGTAGTTATGAGTTCTGAATTTAACTTCAAAATACGAAATATAAGAGAAATTTATATCAAAGTTTACTTATTTATATAAAAGCGTCTCGAGCGTGCAAATATTACATTTTATTCTAAAGGTATATAAAAAGTTTTTCAACAAAGAATTCTCCATAATGTTTTTTTTAATCCTAAAACTCCTAGTTACTTAAAGAAAAAAATTATGTTCCTCTCTGGCGGTAGTTTTGACTTGCGTTCCTTAGACAATCTAATTCTTTAAAACCTTTAAGACAATCTAATTCTTTACTGTGCAAAGTATCCTGCATTGGAATTCCCTACCAATTGATATAAGACGAGCAGAGTCCTTAAATTTATTTAAAGAGCTTCTTTTTGACCATTTTCTTTCTGCCTCGTAATTAGCTCTGCTTATAATCTTATATTTATTAATTATTGTGACTCTGTTAACCTTTTGATTGTATTTAAAATTTTTGTTTCTAAATATTTTTTTTATTATTATTGTTATTTTATCTATAGATTTTACTTAATTTTATTTTAGTTATAATGTTATTTTGAGTTTTTTTTTGTTAATAATTTTTGCATTACTTGTATCTACCCTCTGTAGACTGTAGGTGTTTCTTTTTCATTGTTCCACTTTAGGGTTGCCTGGAAGAAATCGCTTGTTAGCGATAAAGCCGCCCGTTGCCTTATAACTTTTGTAACCTGCTTTTTTAACCTGCTTTTTTATTATGTGTATGTTTTGTTTAAGGTAATAAAGTATAAATAAATAAATAAACAATCTTTGTAAGACAACTTTTGTAATCAAGAAACAAAGTGAGCTATTACCGCATTCAAAAACTGCAAAAATATATTTAAAAAAAAATTAAAGAAGTGCCCAACTGATATCCCCCATGGACACATACACTGCCAGAAAGGCAACGCACTTGCGAGCCTTTAAGAATTGTTACGCTCTTTTTTTTGTTGTTAGTTGGTTCGGTTCCACATTAAAAACACTCAGTTGTGAAAGGACGGACATCAAGGTGACACGGGCGGAATTTCATATTCTGCCTCGACGTCCGATGATGAAACTCAGCTCGACATCCGAACAATGGTTCTGAACACTCTCCATGGTAACGACGACTCATTGGTCCATGGTTAGTACCCCCCCCTGACTGCGAATCCATGGGCCGGGTTCGATCCCGTGAGACGAACATCGATGTGATGAGCATTTGGTTTTGTGCTTAGGTCTTGGGTGTTTAAATATGTATTTATATGTTTATCAGTTGTTTTATTTCCTCTTCCTTCTTCCCCTTTTCCAAAGAGACATGGGATAGGTAATGGTGTGAATTGTCTTAAAAAAAAAAATGCGCTAGAAGATGCAGAGTGACCCCGCCAATGAATCAAGCAGCTCGGATAGTGACTGGTCATGGACACTTTGTATAGGACTACGTTTAATATGGTCAAGTGAAAGGAGCTGGTACTGGGATCTCCTACCCTTCCTTCTACCGTCTCGGCTTGCTGACACCAAGCTTCTTAGAAGCTAATTTAGCCTTTCCTTAAAATGACTTTGAAGAGGTGAGTACCGACAAAGAGTGTTGGTTTTTCAATGTTAATTGTGGCCTTATATTAGTATTTCTTAAGGGTTCTTCACTGACATAGGCACGCGTAACATTAATTTATTATACCACAATCAAATGATCAGTTTATTATCGCAATTATTAATAATCCGAAATAAATATTGCAGATTGAAAAATGTGAGCGTTCCGTTACAACGTCGCAAAAACGTTCTTATATGAGATAAGTCAAAAAGAAGAAAGGGTTAAATAATTATAAGTGTTGGTTCCGAAAGACGCTAGCCCTGCCTTTCTAGTTACAGGACACTGAACTAGGCGCTAGCTTTTTGTGAATCGTGGGCTAAACATTTGTATTTGCCGAGGGTTCCAATGTTATTTTGTATAAAAGAAGAACGCGAACTACGGAAATAATTATTTTATAAGAAATTATTATTAATTATATTTTTTATTTTTATATAAATAAAAATATTATATTGAAATAATAAATCTATAGTCGAGGTTTTATAATAACGTTGTTCATAAAGCATTAATAATATAATACCTAAGTTCTGCTAAAAAGAAGTTATACAAAAAAAGAAAATTGACAGTAACGTCAATTTCGAAACAATATACCTAAATTTCTGTGTATTTAATTTAGAAAAATATTAAAACAATAATGTGCAGTCCAGTTTTAAATCTACCAAGCTATAAAGACCCTCCAGAGTGTATACCATGCTATCCAGTGAAGGTATTACATACATTATATTAGTTTATGAAGTATTAAGAGCAGTGTTGGCCTAGTGGCTTCAGCGTGCGACTCTCATCCCTGAGGTCGTAGGTTCGATTCCCGGCCGTGCACCAATGGACTTGCTTTCTATGTGCACATTTAACATTTGCTGGAACGGTGAAGGAAAACATCGTGAGGAAACCGACATGTCTTAGATCCAAAAAGTCGACGGCGTGTGTCAGGCACTGGATGCTGATCACCTACTTGCCTATTAGATTTAAAAATGATCATGAAACAGATTCAGAAATCTGAGGCCCAGACCTAAAGATGTTGTAGTGCCACTGATTTATTTTAAGAAGTATTAAACAAGTACAAGTACAAAAGCTAAAACATGCATAAGTAAGTAGCAGGCTCGACTTAGATTACCAAAACAAAACAAGTTTATAAAAATGTATGATTAATTAAAGTAACATATTTTAATGAATTCATCGATATAAATAGAAATACAGTACTTGATATACGCTACGTTTGTGTGAAGTGAATAAACGTGAATTAAAAATATTTATATTTAAATTTGTGTAGTGACGCTCTAATGGTATAGTAAGAGGACAAAAAATGCACATTAAACAGAAGGTAACGATTTAGAAATCTGTCGCCCGAATTTGATAATACAGATTATGTAGGTGTCTGGCGGAACCTTTATTGGAACACCTCCAAGTTTGAAGATTTTTGCTGTCGGAGTTGCGTCTAAGTATTAAAAAAATGATTTAAAATTTTGTGAAATGTATTGAAATTCGTAAACAAACCGTACATTTTCTACTTTTCTGTAGGTTATTAGAGATGTGACATTCTGCATAAAAAAATGTTTTTTTTAATTAATCGATTGTTTTTTTTAGCATACTTTATTAAGGCGTTATCAATCTACTATGTAGGTAAGTAGCTGGAATAAAGTCCACTGATATGCATTGTCATTTTAATATTATATATGTGTGTTCAAACTAAACAGTGCAATCAACATTAGTGTTATTGCTGTCAATATAATATTTGATTAGAATTATACCACATTGATATACAAAAACCCAAGATGCACAGTCTCGAATAAAAGTAACGCTCGAAAGTTCCCGAAACACTATTTCTGTCCATAACAGTATATGTTACAAGCATATATTATTGCAAAATCAACCTTCGCGAATTGCTTAAAGTTGTTATTACAACGCAGTGTATACGTACTTAAAGCAATAAAATTTTACGACCGACCTGTCGGTAGGACAAGGTATTGAGTGGAGTCGAACATGACTTTTTTATTTACAACTATTAAACATAATTTTAAATTTATCCGACTTTTCGGTGCTTTACAGCTAGTGGTCACTGACTGAAGAAAAAGGTGTTGGATGTTAAATAGTTGTAAATTTATAATAATACATAACTAATCCGTTAAAAAGTTTTTTCTTTATATTAAAAAAATGTTAAATTGGCTACCTCCTGACCCACACTTTATATAGCGTAAATATATTTGTCAAAAACTACACACAAAAAGTTCAAGAGTACATAAATTTATTTATAAAAAAAACACAAATAAATAACATCGACTCCACTTATAGACGCGAGACTATTTGAAATGAGGCACAATTTAGAAGTTGCATTTTTTGAGGACGTTTTTTAGACGTTGATTGTGCATCTTGGGTTTTTGTATATCAATACGGCATACCTAAAATTTGCCTAATTGTCATTAACGTAAAAAACAGTAAGTTTCGCTAACTTGTAAAAAACAACTTTTCGCGTATTGTGGGCTGTGGCGCGTTTCGTGTATTGTAAATAAACTATTTGGAAGTATGAAAAATAAAGTGTTTGAAATAATATATCTTGTATACAATTTTATTTAATAAAAAATTCTTGTTCAAAATATTGAGTTTATACATCACAGTTTTATAGTCACGTGACACAAAACGGTCACAGATTAGACCAAATAGACGACGACATACCGTGCCAGTTAATAATAGGCGTTAGCGTGTTAATCCTAATACTACTTTGCTTTAATTTCGTAAAAAAAAGAATGATAGTTAACACGTAAAAAGCGTGTTTTGACGTGTTCACTGGTATGGTATATCACAGGGACTGGTGCGATGCCATCTTGCCTAGAGAATCGTTGTGGCGGGTTCTTGAAAAAATTAATGTCTAATTTGAATTTTTCCCAAATCTAAAGAGAGTTAATAATAACAGTGTATGTAGATTTTAAAGACAGTAACAATTTATGTACATTATAATAATATAGACTGTCATAAGTAATCCGAAATTGTTTTTTAAAACTTGTCCAATAGCCCATTCATCAAACTAAAGGCCTGTATTCACTTCGATTAGTGATTAGTGCAGGTGATTAGTGATAAGGAGAAAACAAGTGTGGACAGCGACTGATTAGTGCACGTGATTAGAAGCGCGTTTTTATTTTTTTGCGAGTCCCTTCCCCCTCACCCGCAGCTTGCATGTCAAACTTATTCCGTTATAAATAAGTATAAAATAGCGTGCAATTTTACTTTTGCCGGTAAAGCAGGTCTCATAAATGCACCGCATTTCTGTATGACGGGTGCAACGAGGTTTAGTAGTATATTAAAGGACTCTTAGGCCAACCTGAGAGCAAAGTAATATTCCGTCGTATCTTCAGCAGCCAATTCCTTAAAGAGTTGGTAGCTTGCGCCATGAATTGGTCTTCTATTAATCCATTTTCGAACCCATACTTTTCTTGGTCTTACAAGATCAGCTTCCAAAACTTTTTCGGTTTCAGAATGCACCGCGTTTAATACTTCTTTCAGTACTTCTTCCATTTGCAAGCGCGCTTCTCGATATTCGTCCAAACTTGCTGATTGACAGCTATTGACAACTGAATTTAGTTAATAGAGCCACTAAACAAGAATTGACACTACTTACAGAACTCACTAATCATCCTCAATTACTAATCACTTGCACTCGTACTAATCAAAGTTAATACAGGCCTTAAAAGTCGGATCATATCGGGTGACCCGTGACTATAATAAGACAATATATGTTAAATGTCTTGTTTAAGTATATATAGTGATCACCAATTGTTTATTATGTCCTTTATTACCAATCAATTAATTATCTATATATTTTTTAAACATGTCATTTTAAATCTTTAAAAAAATAAAAAACTTTTTTTTAAATTAGCCAGTATCATTGAAACAATATAGACGACAATAGTAAGTTTGTTGGTACCATAAGTACCAACAATAAGTTATTATTATTGAATAGTAATAATTCAATATCGTATGAAAAACTCTGGTGGTGGCTGGTGTTGTCAGAAATAATGTTCAAGCAATTTGGCGATCCTCGTAATCACCCTCTATTGTAGCTATGGTTTATAGATGCATACCTTTACGATACTTTATAAGTTATAACCATTTGTATTACAATTCAGGGTCTCCAATGTTTACCTTGCGGAATGGACCCAGTAACAGTTCGCCGACCCCTCATAGTCCACGACAGCACTTTCGACTACCGCCCTACCAGTTACCCTGGAATGCTGCTTAACAATCAAGATAAGAAAGTCAGATATCAGTTGGTCAACTTCCAAAGACCTGTATGTTCATTTTCATTAAACATAATTGAAAAAAAAAAATTGCTACTCCACTTTCTGATATATGAAATAGATAATGTATACGTATGAGTATACGGTCGTGTGGTCATGACACAAAATATATACTAATTCTATTCAGATAAAGTTACACTATTTTTTTAATTAAAAGAATGATTTGGTTGAATTAATGTACTATATTTAACTCTATCATCTACTGCTACTCTCTTCAATTCTAATTTGGGTTAATTTGTAACTATTATGTTCAGCATTCCCGATTAAACGCCGTTTTCCAACATCTCATTAATTCTTCTTTTTTTTTAGATCCAACCCCACTATCCATCTTGTGCTCCTTCGTATAATTAATAGTTTAGGTAAGTATCGGCTTAGTGATAAAGAACTTACATAATATCTACTACCACATTGAAACGCCTTTACGTTTTTTTTTGGAAATAGATTAACCTCTTTTAAAATGTGACAGTTGTACAAAATATGATGTCATTTGTACATTGAAAAAGAAACAATAAATTTGACAGTTATCAAAATCACGACACGAATTAAAATATCTCGGACTAATTAGCAAAAATTTTCGGAGTGTTTTATATCAATAAATTTAAAAATAAGCAAAATGTGTAACCGAATGAACATGATAAACAAATTACAAGCCATTGTATCTGAAATACAGTAAGTTTTAGTCTGCCTGTTTAAAAGACTTCTTATTAAAAACAACGGCTGCTTTTTTACTTTAAATTATTCAATTGCATAACCGGTCTGCAAATAAGTTCGTCAGCGCGGAAGCGTACAAGCTTCCGTACCCTATTTCGCTACATTTTCCCTTTTATCATTTCAGACGTGGTGGTTGTCCTTCGCCATGCTGTTCACCATGTCAGCCCTCTCCGTGTTGTGGAGGAGCTGGCTCCCTCGTCACAGTTTACAGTCAAGTAGCACATATACAGTGACCCGGTGACATGCGCTTCACCTAAGTCAATTTCATTATTCGATTATTTTTATTTCCTATCCCGATCGAACGCCTATGGACCTTTAGATTAACAACGTTATATAATTTAACGTTTAACGCCCAACCCCAATAATCAATACACAATCACGGTCTGATCTCAGATTGTTTTCAATCTGAGATCAGACCGTGACAGTCGATCGATCCTATCTGCATCCCAATAACCATACGCTACAAAGACAATCCATTTTTGGAGACGGATAAAATGCTCTTTGTCGTTCCATTTTACCGAGTTTTCACTCATATTTGATAATCAATGTAAACCAAATAAAGTAAATACAACCGTACAAATAACATTAAAATATACATGTGTATGTTTGAAACATAACAAACAGTTTTTTAATTATTTAAAAAACTGCTGTAAGTTAAAATCTGTTAAAATAATTCACTTCACTTCACTTTATTTATAATGGCGACATCTGTGTAAATCACAATTCCGCCAATGTCACGTTCTAAGTCTTCACACAGTGAGGATAGATTTGATAATTTTGATAGATTGAATTTTATCTAAGCAGAGTTACCCAAAACAAAAATGACATCACAATAAATACAACACACACAGACATCTAATAATATATACAAGAGGTTAACATTTTATTACAAGGTATGGAGGGGAGAATCTTATTTATAACTTTAATTTATTAACAGAAATAAATTTCCCTAAAATTTTGACGATCGAGCTGGATGGGAGGGAAAGTAGGGAGTTAAGGTTACATGGACGAGGGAAATCTGGAGAAAGATGGTCAAATAACGAGTCATTAATTAAAGAACAGTTAAAAAATATATGGTCTGTCGAGCCCTCGTCCATACCACACTCACAGAGAGAACTGTCTTTAATTTTAATTTTGGCTAGATGAACGGGAGTACAAGCGTGCCCTATACGAAGACGGCAGATTATAGACGTGACCTTTTTGTTTAAAAACTTATGTTTAAAAAACCACGGCGAAGAAGGGATTGAAAACTGAATATTAGCATAGTGTCTGCCAGTTTTTACTTTAGAAGATTGCCAATCAATAGTCCAGGATTTTAAAAGGTGGGAGTACGCAAGAGCTGATAGGTCGTGGGCCGAGATGTTGGGATGCTGACAAGATCCGCAGAAAATAGCACCTTTTGCACAAGAGTCAGCAGTTTCATTACCCGCTATACCACAATGACTAGGTATCCACAAAAGTACAATATGAATATCTTTTTTACTACACCTAAACAAAGCTTCTCTTATTTTTAGAATCGTATTATGTTTTTTTTTAGACCTGAATGGATTGGAAAGAATTGCCTGTAAACAGCTGCGAGAATCGGAAAAAATTGTAACTTTATTTAGGTTGTGGGACTCAGCATACAAAACCGCTTCTAGGATTGCAAAAGCTTCACCTGAAAAAACGGAGGTCAATGGAGGAAGTTTAAAGCTCAATACTGTTTTGAATGAAGGAACCCATACAGCCGCACCGATGTACTCATTATTGGGAATCTTGGAAGCATCAGTATACATCGTTAACCAACCCTGCCAGTCTTTTGAAATTTTTTCCAGAAAACAAGTGGAAGCTTGGGTGGATTTTTTTTCAATTCCAAAGTTTAAAATTATTTTAGGATCAAAAATGAGGGATTCATAACTATTTAAAAACAAGGAATTACTAGGGAAACTTTCAATAGGACTAGGAAGACGAGAAAGTTTATTAAAACTGTATAACAGGCATGGAACGTTACCTGTACTAGATGGCATCGTGAGATTAGATAAGCGACGTAATTTGGACAAGATGGAATGTGAAGAGTATTGAAGGACTTTGATGAAGAAGCGGTCACTTAAAAATTGTCTACGTAAATACAGGGGGGGGTCAACACATTCTATTTGGAGAGCATTGATGGGAGAGGATTTCATAGCACCAAGGATGATGCGTAAAGATTTCGATTGAATTTTGGAAATTTTATCAAGGGCTTGCTTGTTGCCAGGATCTAAAAGGAAGGTGCCATAATCAAAATGACTTCGTACCACAGCATTGTATAAAAGCTTTTGCGAGTAGGGGTGTGCTCCCCACCTCACACCAGATAATGAACGGAGAACATTAACACCCTTCTCACTTTTTTAATCACATGGTTAAAATGAGGAACACCGTTTAACTTTGAGTCTAAAATAAGGCCTAAAAATTTTACTTGCTTACAACACGATACCAAGGACCCTTTATATGAAATGTTACACCGTGGAACCTTGTATTTTGTAGTAAACGTGACTGCCGAGCATTTGGGCACAGAAATAGAGAGACCATGATCATTTAACCAATCACCCAAATAATCCAAAGCCGAATTTAGGCGTGATGATGCCTCTTCAATAGAATTTGATGAAAAGTATAAGGCTACATCGTCCGCGTACTGAAGAATCTGACAGAAGGAATTCACAACAAGCTCCAGGTCATAGGTGTAAATGTTGTACAGAAGAGGACTCAAAACAGAACCTTGAGGTAAGCCCCTCCAAATAGATCTAGGAGACAGCTCCGTATTTTGAGATCTTATAATAATATAACGATTCGAAACTGCATTGCAAACAAAACGTACCAACTTCTCAGGAATACTCAGCTGAAGCATTTTTTGCCTGAGCACTGGAACCAGCACGTGGTCATACGCAGATGCGATATCCAAGAAAACACCCACCAGGAACTGTTTCTTTTTAAAAGCAATGCGAATGTCGGTCGTTATTATACTTAGGCTATCCATCGTACTTAAGCCTTTCCTGAAACCAAACTGGGATTTTGCAAAGATATTGTTACTTTCACAAAACCATTCTAAACGAATTTTAATCAAATGTTCCATAATTTTTAAAAGGGTAGAAGACAAAGCAATAGGTCTGTATGAAGAGAAATCTGATGGATCTTTGCCAGGTTTTAGAAGCGGAATGACGATTTGTCTGTTCCACGATTCAGGAATAATTCCATGATCGAAAAAACAGTTTACTAAATCTAGAAAGTACCTCTTAGTGCCTAATGAAGAATTTATGAGGATTGAGTAAGGGATTCCATCTTCTCCAGGGGAAGAGTCAGAGAGACCATTTAATGCTTTGTTAAGTTCTTCCAAGGAGAATTGACAATCTAGACTGTTTGAAGAGGGGATGTAAGAATTATACTTATAAGGAAGACAATCATAAAAAGGGACTGATGGAGGAGCCAATTTGTCGGCAAAGGAGGTAATCCAGCTAGACGGATCATTAAAAGGGACATCATAAGAATTGAGGTTCCCTCACGGAACGGAACGGAATCTTCTGATCTGCCTCCAAACAACAGACGAAGGGGTACCAGGGCACATGCTCTCACAGAACTTATGCCAACCAAGACGTTTCTTATTATTAAGAAGTCTGCGAGCAGCTGCAGGAGCTTGTTGGTAGACTAAAAATCCAAGGTCATGCAAAGACTGTATGACCTTTCTGCCGTTTTTCTTTTTCGAATCATCTCAGTACATTCGGAATCCCACCAAGGAGGAGAAATTTTCCTTAGTGTAGAAGATTTGAGTGGAATATGTAAACTGGCAGATGAGGTGAGGGAGTTGACAAAATCATTGTATGAAGATAGGCAGTTTTCAACAGAAACTGCGGGGAGCGCAGCTATTTTAGAGTCAATAGAAGATGAAAAGTCTGACCAATTGGCCTGATTCAGTTTAAATTTTAAAAGAGGGGAAGGGCGAGTAACGCTCCTTAAATTGGTTGGGAGATCAATTAAAATGGGGAAGTGGTCACTCCCACAAGTGCTCTTAAAAACACGCCAGGATAGAAAAGGGAAAAGATCAGGAGAACAAAGTGATAAATCCACTGCGTTAGCGGGATTCTGAGATGGAAGACTCCTTCTCGTAGGACAACCATTATTCAAGACACTTATGTTTATATCATCGAGTAAATCTAGTAGAAGGGACCCAAAAGAATCTGAGGAATGACAACCCCAAGAAACATGGTGGGCATTGAAATCACCCAACATGACAACAGGAGGAGGAACCGAAAGGATAATAGAACGTATATCAGAAATGAGGTCGATATGGGGGTGGGGAATATAAACAGAAATAAACGAGATATTAAAAGCTCTCATAGCAACAGCATTAATACCATCACAATGAGGAAGAGATAATGAGTGGAAGGTGAGGGATCGGCTGACCAAAAAGGCACAGCCAGCATAGCCATCATCCCTGTCATCTCGGAGACATCGATACCCAGAAACCCTAAAGCGGGAACCCGGCAATAACCAAGTCTCCGAAATGGCTAGAATAGATGGAGCGAATTTATTGATGAGAAAGGTTAATTCGGATTTTTTACTGCGAATACTGTTACAATTCCACTGGATTACTAGATTCGCCATTTTTGGTGACGAATGAGTGGAGCAAATTAATTTTTTGGGCAACGTGGGACGGTATGGGGATGTCATCATATTTAGATAGCATGTTACAAATGACTGCCCATAAGCAGTCAAGAAGATTTTCATTTGGGGAGACTTCATTGTTGATAAGGGTTGGGGAGCTTACGGCACAACCATTGGGTAAAGAGGAGGGAAAATTGGAAGTAATGGCCTCATGGGCCGCCTTATCAAAGGATTTTCCTGATGTTGGCCTAGAGCGAGGAGGGAGAAATACCGTTTTCCTGTATGATGTTGTCTGACGGGAAACTTTGGAAGGTATAATAATGGGCTGGGATACATTGAATGAAGGGGAGGGCGTTGTTTTAACAGAGTCTGCGAAATTTTTGCCACTGATAGGTCTGAACCGAGCCGATGCTTCGAGATAAGAAATGCTCTCCTGAGACATACAACTCTTTATGTTTTTTTGTCGATTATGCTCAGGACAAGCTTTGTTGGTCGCATAGTGCGAGGCAGTACAAAATAAACATAATGACTCTATTTCAGGGATATTACAATCATCACCAGGATGGGCTAAAGTACAACGAAAACACCTAGGCTTAGAACGGCATTGTGACTTTACGTGACCAAATCTACAACAGTTGAGACATTGAATTGTTGGGAGTTGGTACGTTTCAACGCGGAGGGAACTATGACAGGAGAATATTCTCTCCGGAAGGGTTTGTCCCTGAAAGGTTAAAACAACAGTTTGTGTTGGAATCCAATTAATTTGACCATCGGCGTTTGTCTTGCGGTTTAGGCGTCTGGCCTTGACGACTATACCAATACCTTCAGGAATTTCCAGGGTTTCGACAAATTCTTGCATCGACCAATCAGCTGGGACACCTCTCACAAGACCCATACGGGAAACATTGTAATTAGGAATCGTAACAGAATAATTGCTGGAAGGTATAATGGGATTAGACACAAAATTATTAGCATCTAAACCCGACTTAAACTCAACAGATATTCTGTTACGTCCCACTCTTTTAACACCATCACGAACAATGTTACTTACTTTATTTTTTACCAAGAAGTGACCAAATTTAATTGGACGGATTGATGTACCGGCGGATGGGTCAGATTCAGGGCAAGAAACATGGACTAAAAAAGGGCCCTTGTCATTGACAAGGTATGACTTGGGAGAGCCAGTGAGAGATGGATGAGAGTAAAATCCTGGGTTGACGTCATCAACAGATGACCGGACATCAGTCATTGGTTTTTTGGAAGGTTCCACTAAAGATTCATTGACAGTATCAAGTCTGCGCTTGACACCAGGTTGGGGCAACAGTGGGGTGGATAAATCCATTGATTCCACCGGAGAAGAGACCCTATCCGGAGGATCAGGGGGGTCTGGAGGGCGTTTCTCCATTATAGACTAACAAAAATATAACAAGGTAAAGGGAGAAATATAACAAATAAATAAAAATAACTTACGTAATTAGTTGATGTTATTAATTAACCACCACCAATAGGATAAGTCAACTTATATTCATTAAACTACGAGAAAAAATAGAAAATACTAAATAATGATATCCAAAACACGTGTAAACACTTATACCCGCAACGACGGAATCCTGTTAAAATAATTAACGGTTGAAATCGGGCTTACGTCAACTGTCATTTTTATACAAAGGTCTATCCACAGACACCGATACGACCTCCCATGGATCGCTTGTATCTATTGTAGGCTATTACAATCCGCCGATTGGTTATTGGCACACTTGTTACAACATTTGTATTAAGATTACTATCTCAGATGGTGGATTATGGATTGAGGTTATTGGGTTCGGGCGTAAAAGAACAAGTTACGCTCAATCGACAAAGGGGCAATGCATCTTGAATATGGCTTATAAAACAAATCACGTTGTTGAACATAGAAGTCACTTTTAAATGATTTAAAACAGTTTACCAAATCAAGCAAGTAGGTCTCTCTGATTGTAACTGTCTGGAGTTTGCTAATAATTTACGCAATATGTGGTGATATGTATAGCGCTATTTAGTAAGACGTTTTCTCTCAAAGTCCACTATTTTCAAATTCCTACAAACATTAGCAAGTGAATTTTAACGTGGTTTTTAATGGCCACCAATAACCACCCAAGCTTCTTAATATAAAATGGGCGCAAACGGGATCACCTGATCTTAAGTGATACCACTGCCCATGGACACTCTCAATACCAGAGAGCTCGCGAGTGCGTTGTCGCCCTTTTAAGGATTTTTAAGTTATTTTCTTGAAATACCGATAAATAGTCGAATTGGTTCGGAAGCACTCCCAAAGAGTAGCTGAATGTTAGCATAAACCCTTCAAATGACACTGACAACAAACATCACATTACAGATGCAGTGCTTGCCGTAGGACAGCCTCCACAACCAGTAGCGGCTTTCGACAAAGCAGTGATTGCTATAGGGCACCACGGCACCAGCATGAAGACTTGTTGATATTTATAACTGAAATTGTCCCTTGTTTTGGTTTATTATACATTGTAACGTAAAATTGATATTTGAATAAAGTTTGTGACTTGTATGTTATTTACCTTATTGATAATAAAATCGTAATTAACGTCTAGGTCGATCTTTCCTACTTGTCTTTCCCGATGACATCAAATTATTTTACTTGAAACTAAGATAGAGAAATAAATTTGCTTGAAACTAATTGATGCGACATGTAAAATGTAATGGTAGTAAAAGTGCTTTTCTCGACCAAAAGGGTAGTAGTATTCTCGACCAGTCATCCCTTTCTGGCATAGTCCGTCATAGATCCGTGACTAGACCTAAGATAAAAGCGGGCCAAAGACGGACCGTATGTTGCAGTCAAGACCAACTGCAATATGCGGTCGCCGCACGGCGATCTGCAGTTTCCATACTAAATTCATATTCGCAATATACGGACCGCTCGAGCAGTTCCTGAGCAAACCGGTCCGTCTATGCCCCGCTAAAGACTAAAACCTTAACGTTCGAAATAATTTTGTTAGCGCGTTTTAAGGTGTGACGTCATAGCAGTGATTCTGAGATGAGATAAGGCTACAATAAATGGTAGATAAAAAAGAAGAATAAAATAAAATAAATTATTTTATATTTTATATATATATACATATTATATACATTTATAAATGAAATCTAATCATTATAGCGATAAGAAAAATAAAAGAATTTGCCGCTATGCCGCACAAGCAGATTTTAAAATACCAATTTAAAAAGAACGTCTTCAAAATACTGTCAGAAGAAAGAAAACGTTTTTCTTTTCATTGATTTTATTTTGTCAAATGTAAAACAACTTTTTTTTTGTTATAAAATATAAAAATAATAAAAATCGTAAATTATTGTATTTCAGATTAAAAACACAGGTTACGATATTACAATTACTTATAATAAGTTATAATAAAATACGTTACTGTAGAATTTATTCCATAGAATTATATCCAATTTCAGTAAATTATCACCAATACGATTGACAAGCATGTCAGTGCTTCCACGAGGTTTCGAGAGCTGTAGGCCATGCCCAAGGTACGGATTTGTACGGGGTGAATACAGTGTATACTATAAAAGACCACGGTATGGTCAACCCCGACCACAACCCTTTATGAAAGAGGCAGCGAAATACCACAGCGGTCCGACCAACGCCCCATCTGAAAAGTAAGATACTACATTTTTCAAAATTCAATTCTCATCTCACAACTGTTCAAAGAATATTTTATTATTATTTATATAACGGCCGGTATGTTTTGATATAATACGACGACACTGTTTACCAGCGCAACAGCTCTTTAAATATAGTAGTTTATTTTTAGTGCAAACCATATTTAATGTTAAAGTAATTGAAATTTTATTTCTTTTAAGAAGCTACTTCTGATATACCTAATATAAATTATTTATCGGCTACTTTTGATAAATCTTTTATGATGTTATAATTAATAATGATATATATATAATAAAAATATTAGTTACTATCTCTATATCGTTGTTATAAAATACGCGTCAGTTATGATAAGATAATCATAATTGGAAATTTTGAATTAAATTGTAAGCACAATGTAAGATTAAATAATCATACATCTTAGACTGCATGTAGCAAATGAAATAGTATTCAAGGAGATTCAAATGACAAAGACCTTTCCTACAAGATTTATCTATTCCATGACTTAATTCCTACACCCAATACTATTTTGATCTATTGAAGTTTTTCGTAATTTTAGGCCATGCTGCTACGACTATCCCTGTAAAGCGCACTGTTTCAACCACGGAGCGTGCACAAGACCAAGCGGCAGATACGCTCGCACTGTTTGGTACCCTGGTGAATGCTGTCCAGTGGTTCCTCCCTGCCAGGCCTTTACGTGTCCCAACCCTCCATATCATCCGTGCTGTTATCACACTTGCAACAAACTAGTCTAGATTGGTATCATGCTGTTTAAAACAATGTTACGATTGGTTTTTTTTTGTTGAAGAAGTTTCAAATCTTTGATATTTCTTGAATGATATATTATCAAGAGTCGACTGTTTCTGGGGTCACGTACAAGAAACATGGCCAGTAAAATTGTGATTCGTTGGTGCTAAATTTCGATGCGTCTGGTACGCTTGTGAATCGTAGTGTCAATAAATGTAAACAGATTAACGACTTTTTTTATTGATTGATGTCTTGTTATAACAAGGTCCTATTGATAAAATTTGTTAGTGGGTCAGTGGTCAGTTAATTTACAGAAGAATATTATGGATATTACCAAAATACAAATATGAAAGAAAGTGAAAAGTACGTACCTACGTACTTATCTTAATATATATTTTCTTCTGTGCGTGTGTATGTGACTGAACTTCTCTCAAACGACTGGACCGATTTTGATGAAATTTTTTGTGTGTGTTCAAGGGGATCTGGGAATGGTTTAGATTCACAAATCAGCGCGGCAGATGGCACTGCAGTCGGTACTTTCATACTTTGCTTAATATCCTAATCGCTTTAAATATCATGCAGGACAACGTCTGTGGGGTCCACTAGTAAGTAATATAAATAATAAACAGTGCGATTTTAGTGACTAACACTAATTTTTAATGAGCCTATTTACGGTGATTGGCGTGACACCTAAATTCGCACATATTCACACTACTACCACTACCTACTATCTAGCTTTGTACATACAAACACATTAACATTAAGTAAAAAATAAGGATATTTATTATAAAATTGATACGAAATGAATTTTCAATTTCCGCGTTATGTTTGATCACATTAAGTCTCAAAATTAAGAGAATTATGTAATATTAATAAATATTTTTAAAAACGTATTACGTATGTAATATTAATAAACATTTTGATACCTACTAATCAATACTTAAGTCTGTTAAAACGTTGATTATCCTCATCATGGGACTAGCCCTTATGCATGACTCATAACCAAAAATTTAACACGGAAATAGATTGTGCAGTTTGTAAACATCGTACCAAACGATCCTATTTAAGAGTATTAAATATTATTCTGGCACCTGTGTCGTAGTGCCACCCACGCTAGTCTACTCAACACAAGTGCGAACGCGGAATTCATCAGTTGCTTTCAGTTGCCTTTAAGGAGTCTGCGGCTACTGTCGAAACACATCCGCAACCTCTTTCCCGTATCCGCCAAAAATGTATTTTCCGAGCGTGATCTTGATTTTCACTTTACTTGGTAAGGCTTTGTTCATTTTATTTACACTTTTAAGTTTGTTTTTTGTATAAAGAGTACATCGTTACAATTTAAATATTTATTGACATACAAATGTGCATTGCTTTATTTTAAAAACATTCATAATTACCAAAAAAATATTAGACTAAGACAAAACTATACTAAGTTAGGATTTTTAAATATTAACAGTATATAATAAAACCACCTTACAGATAACATCCTATAAAATTGAATATTTATTTAATTAAGTATGTATTACCATATCTAATGATATTAACAAACCCGATAAAATCAAGTATTGGCATATCGCATCAGTGTAAAAAAGTGTCTTAAGTAATTTCGATAAAAAACTATCAGATCATAATTATTTAAGTTGATGACATCATTATCATTACTAATCCTTATAATAAATGCGTTATGCATCCAACTGTGAATACTGCAAATGATATTAATACGATCATTTAAATTCTTTACTCACACGCGTTATTTGTAAATTTTATTAGTCGCGTTACATATATGACAGTGAAATCTATAATTACTAGTCTATGGTCAACTTTCATTTAATATATTTTTTGTTTAAATCATTATATTAAATTAATCCATTGAAATTAGGTACATAAAAGGGAAATCTATAAAAAAGGTGTGCATACAAGTTATCATTAACGGCACTCTTGGATGCACCCAACAGACACATACGAGTAAGTAAACAAGTTACGTAGTAATGATATTAATGATGATAGATTGGATAGCCAAAATATTATAATTAACCCAAATAGACAAAATAATGTCTGAACTAAATTAATAATTTTCTCACGTGTTAAAATAAATCGTCTCTGTGTGAATGTCAATCTATCAAGTGATTTTGATAACTGCGAGATAAATTTTTACTGCGCATTGGTAATTTAGTATTTCTGAATAAACAAATAACAAATTTCTGAATTTATTAACGCTTTGTTAGTCAGGCTCATGGCCTGAATTTGTACTATAGAGAATCCATCTAGATTTTTTAAAATTTGTGTTATCTCATGTATCTACATGGTTTCGTTAGAAAAGTTTTAAACATAGCTGTTAACAAATTCTATTAATGCTTTACTCGCCAGCAAATCAACACCTATTTGTACCGAATCGTATTTTGTTTCCTGACTGATCAGGAGAAAGCGAAAAAGATTTGTATTGTAAATAATTAACTACCAACAATGGCAACTATTACATACAATACAATTTGGTACATTCATTTTATATTTTATCACAGTTATTAAGAACCTTGACTCAATAACACAACTATTTCCTGTTATCTCTTAAAAAGATTTTCTATTCGCAAAACAGAAATGTCCTTGGTCTTCTCGTACTACGCATTTGTATGGGCAATAAATTTTCGCAAAATTACACCACTGAAAGAAATATTAGACTAAATATTTTATTGTAAAGAAATTTCTACGAACACCAAATGACCACAGATATTTAACGGTTAACGTACATGGGGTATATATAATTATATAATCGGGGTTCGAATTCTGGAGAAACAATAATGTTTTAGGTTGGTAATCATAGAAGGCAGGTACGTGCAATTGTGTGATTTTAAACAAAAGTTAGAGATTATACGTGAGCCAAAGATACAACAGAAATCGTTTTTTAATGAACCTCCGTGTTTTTGCAAGTAATTGTAATATACATTAATAGATCTCATACGAGTGCATACCTATATTCTATATCTCCTGTTTAAGGCACAATTTTATTTAATTAATTTAATTGTTACTGCTACTTCGTCCTTATAATATTATATATTCTAAAATTCCTTACAATCTTTAAGATTTTAGTATGTGTAATGTGTATTATCTGTAACCACAGGATATAAAAGCGCGAAAATATTGCGCCAATCCGTGAAATATGGTATATATTATTGTATTCTTTTAGGAAGCGTGACTTTGCATCTTACGGAGATTGATTTCAACAGGTCAGTGACGCATGAGCTTAGCAAATAGTTTTGGAAAATTGTACACGGCACTAACAGTATAAGAATGCTTTAAAATTTAGAAATAGGTTATACCATGTTTTTTTTATATTTGAAATAATGTAATAATAGCTTTAACACATAGTCTCCACCCCTAAACATTTTATTTATTAATCCAACAGCCTATTTGCATTATATTAATATATATGTATTTGCTAATAAATATTGATTATTCATTAATAATTCTGGGCTTTAAACTTACGCGTATCTATGAGTTTGCTAACGTTTTACTGCTTATTCCAATTATGGATTGTTCTTTGATTTAGATTTTATAAGGATTTTACTGTTTAGTAAAATAAGATTGGGTCAAAAAATCTTTACAAATTGGTGCCATATTATATTTTCCAAATATTCTTTAATTTTATTAAAAATGCGCAGTATGACTTTACATGCATTCCAGAGTTGCGAACACAAAGAGCAATATTTCAATGCATTTGTAATGTGTTTGTGCAATTTTAGAGATACCATTTATCAATAATCCTAAGGGCACTTCAAATGCATTCAGAATATTTTAACAGACCAGTTTGTTTACATATGGAAATAAAATTATGATACAATAAAGCTACTTTTAAATGGTGTTTATGTGTTTAAACTGGAAAAGTAAGTCGCTATTTCAATAAAATATCAACTTAATGGCGAAAATGTTAATATTTTATTTTATAATAATAATTTACTTCTGTTGAATAATAATTTCGATTTGGTTTCGATAGGCTTTGCTAATGTAAATTGATTAATATCAATAACCGGCCGGTTGTAACAATTTACAAGTAACGAAAGTTTGCGCCTGCCAATTTAGCATGCAAGGATAGTATAATTGTATAGTAAGAAGATACAGTCCTAATACTTACAATACATGTCGAATCCCATTACATCCTCGCGACGACAGACAATGGTAAAAGAGATCGTCTTAGATTAAGACAAGACAATAAGGGGCGACAAAATGTTATCTAGGCACGCACCCTAAGCCGGATACTTATCAAGAAACCCATACTAATAATAAAGAAGTTGTTTGTAATGCATAGTTTTAATGTAAACGACGACACATACAATTTATACTAAAGCCTTTCTACAGAGATGAAATTAGCACTGTACTAGTTTACTTGAATGTTATTCTTAGTTATTACGATAAACAATCTACTGTCGTTTTTTCTGCTTATAGAGTCCGTAACATTCTATGCGTATTACCATCTGCCGTGCGATTCTGTTAATCCGTGAGTTCACCTCGCACTAACAACGCTCCCATCGTCACTCACTTAATTTTACGAATCTCATGGTATTCTGTTAAGCAATTTCACATTACGTCTTGACAAGCGGAGGGACCTTGTAGTTTATTGTTTATCAAAATGCCAAATCGTAAAATGACTGCTTCACGACTGATTTGAGCGCGAAAACCGCTGTGAGAATTTAAAAAGTGAGATACAGAATCGCAAGGCTGGCGTCGACTATAGCGTTAGATTTGGCCTAATTAATACTTTATAGACCTAGTTTAGTGTAGTGTAGTGTGGACTCAGTTTCCGCAATGAGACGCCCATTTCGTACGTTGTGCGTTATGTCCTGGCTAATTAAGCCAACCTAGCTCCTTCCAGAAGCTTAGAAGTTTAGACCTTACTGACCTTACTGCTCCAAGGATTTCTGCTCGTTGGAAAGCACGCATTCCAGGAATTCGTGTGTGACTGATTCCTCTGCGCTTACATAGTTTCTGCACAGGTCTGTCGGTCGGTCTGTCGCGCCAAGGAAATGTTTTTTTAGGAGACAGTGGCCCGTAATTGTCCTTATCATCACCAACCCTTTTTAAACATAAAGGATTTTCCAAATATAATCAAGTACATTACTTGTCCTGTAATCCTGTTTAAATTTTATGTATGCAGCATATTTCAAATTCAATTTACTTATGTATATTTAACCGCACGTGTAGGTCCCAATTTGATATTACTAAAAATTTGAAAATTAATTATGGTAGCTCTATATCAGCAAGTTCGAACAATTTGTTGAATTAAATATGCTTTTAATATATTTTTATAGTCGTAACAGATAGTTATATATTTCGGAAAAAAATCCAAATCTGTTAATGCCTGAATAGGTAGTGCTAATAGACAAGACTATAGAGAAATGCATGAAAATTTGACCTTATTTTGGATTTTCTTTGTCCGTCAAGTATATTTTTTATTGCAGAATACGACAACTACCGAACGAGTTTTCGCCTACCTACAATTCAAACAACAGAAGGTCTATAACCCACAATTTATATAGGAAAAAGAATTACGATGACAATAAAAAATACGACATACATTCCCGAAAACAAACGATGGAAAACGAAGTCATTCAGACACATCAACCAAGGGAAGACCCTAGGCTTTTTTATCAGACCGATAGTTATCTTAGAGAAGTTCAGGATCATAACCATGAAATCACTTATATTTACCCGGGGAGGGAGGTCGTCAATGCTGAAGAGGAATATAGACGACCTCGGCGTCTCAGGAAAATGGTTAAAAGCCTAACTTTAAATTCAGGTAGTTTAATGCAATATAAAATATACATTTAATTCCAACAAAGAGGTTCCTTTAATCTCTTTAAAAAATTGTTAAATTTGTTGATTGTTTATCACAAATTTGTCAGGTTTTCGGTGGGAGCCATTAAGAGAATCCATTGTCCATATAAATGTTTCTTTGACTAATGGTCAAGACATAGACATATTATAAACAAAAGACAAGATTATTTTATACTTCAAATAATTAAATAGATAAATAAAGATGGATAGTTATATGTACACAGCAAGCGACCGCACAAACATACTCGTAAGGCCGTTCCCACACCCACCGCAATCTGCCCGCCGTAAATCTGCCGAAAGCTAGTGGCTTACAATTTATATGAAGCTATTCACATTATCCCGGGTCCGCATTTTTGCCGACCCGGCATTTCTACCGAACGTTTTGTCACTACGAATTGCCGGTAGAACGACCGGGCCCGGAGTAATGTGAACGAGTTTGTGCCGGTATCTGTCCCCCCTCGCCCTGCTCGTCTCCCCTCGCCCCGCCCTGTTCCACTCCACGTCATTCGGCTCCATGTTCTGGTAAAAGTAGACGTTTAGCATGGATATTCAACAGAAACTTTAATTACGCTTGTCCAAAGAGACCTTTCTGTGGATAAACCAAGACTTTATAAAGACAAAAACTTAAAGTTAGCAGCATGGCGTGAAGTATGTTTAATACTGAAACCAAACTTCGATGAATGATGAAAAAGAAAGAAAACAGTACGGTGAGTTTTTAATGTTTTATTGATAAAATGTAAATGCATTGATAAATTTTTATTTTATAGCTGCTGCCTGCCACGGAACGGAACCAATATCTGAAACAAAATAATTAGTAAATGATGTCCGTATAGCGTTGGCATTAGGGCCACCTCGACTCGACACATTTCGATTCATGGGTGTAGTTTCTTGTTCTTGTCTATGTTCTATATTTTGGTAACTTTCAAAATTTATACCATCTTTTTCTCTTACAAAATTATGTAAGACTCACAAGCTTTAATTACTTGAATTGCTGTGTCTACGTTGAGATCTATAGCTCGATGGATTATTCGCCACTTATTTGCCAGAATACCAAAAGCGCACTCAACATACCTTCTTGCTCGACTTAGTCTATAGTTAAAAATCTTTTTATCAGTATTCAAATGTGTACCTCCATATGGACGTAGGAGATTAGGTGTTAAAGCAAAGCCTTCATCGCCAACAAGTATAAACGGTAATTCTTCGTGCAAGTTTTCATGAAGCGGTCTAGGCTTTGGTACATTTAAAGTACCATCATTGATCTTTTGCCAAAATGTACTATCCTTTAATATACTAGAATCGCATTCCTTCCAAATGAGCCCACACTAATAAAAATAAATCGGTACTCTAATCACAACTGCCATTAATACAAAAGAATAATACTCCTTGTAATTAAAGAACATAGAACCACTCTTGGCTGGTTTCAAAATTCTGATATGTTTGCCATCTACTGCTCCAAGACAGTGAGGAAAGTTGGCTTTTCTTTCGAATCCTGAAGCGATGTCCTCCCATTCTCTCTCAGTATCAGGCAGCTTAAAGAAATCTGTCTTTAGGTTTTCCCAAATGACGTGGGTCATTTCTTTTTTAGTTTACTTATTGTCGAAACGCCTACTCTTATGAGTAATGTATTTCTTTGAATGAACATCCTGAAGCTAAATATCTGAAAAAAAAGTATTTTTTGTTAATACATTATTACTTTATACGTCACCAAGAAACAAATTGTATTGTTTTTATGATATTTTTTTATTGATTTCAGGAAAACAGGTTTCAACTAAATGGAATAATATACGAGATTCGTGCTTAAGACAGTAAAGAAACAAAAAGATGAGTCTAAATCTGGATCTTCGACCAAAAAGACACGAAATTATTTATATCACGAGCAATTAATGTTTTTTGAAAAAAGTCTCCGAACCTCGACCACCACATAGTCAGTTTCAAAAAAGCAAGAACCGAGACTGAAGTAGGCATGGAATCAGATTTTCGTTCACCTTTAATTAAAGATAAAAAAAAATTGATAATAAAGAGGTAAATGACAGGATGGTAAAGTTTTTGGACTCCAGAATAAACCCAAAAAGGAAAACCATCATCTATCTTTCTTCAAAGCATTATACCAATCTTGAACACTTTAACTATCGAAGAGACTTTAGAATTTCAAGCTAGCGTCATGACAATGTTGCAAAAAATTAAAAGTAGGAATTATGAGAGACCAAATTACGGACATTGGCGTGATTCATATAATCAGATAACCGACCAATCAGTATTCTGGATACTACACACATAATAGCGTCAATCAACAGCCAATACCTACCAAGATCAACACTACCCTGATACTCTACGCAATATAATAGTAGCAATCAACAGGCAACAACATCTATACCATCAACTTCATCTCAGACATCAATCCGATTCCAGCTTCGCCATCAGCATCTAGTAATCGTTCCATACATTCCCAAGACTCAGATTACTTAGATTTTGAAGGGATTTAAGTTTGAGTACAAATAAATACTTAAATAATTGTTTGCATTTTTAATTCATAATGATTATCAAATACATACACCCTCCCACACACACACATTATATATATTCACATTCATGAAACAAACATACATAGCAAACATTCATTCATTCATACAGTCTTAAGTAGGTACCTACGTCAAAACTATTATTACGCAATCTAGTGCATAAAATAATCTTACCTTAGACATATGGCTAATCTTTTGTTCTGGGCAAATACATTCTCTGAAACTTGTATCTCGTACTCTTATGTCTAGTCGTCCCAGTAAATCGTCAAAAGTGGTTGCTGTCATTCGAAAATAATTGAAGAACTTTGATTCGTCTCTTCTAAGTTCACCCATTAATGTTTCAAATGTTCCAAGTGAAAATCTTTCCCGTAAAATAGGGTGTACCCAATGTTTTCTTTTATTTTGCCTTCTATTAAGATACCACCACAACACAACAATTTCGTCGTCCATTGTGCGCGCAGGTCCAAATTCAACTGAGGACTGTCTGAATTTCTTCCGGGATCATGAATGTGAACACTCTTCTTCGGTTTCGCAGATCTGCCGATAACCGGCCTTAACCTTGCGACTTCTAGTTAACTTAGCGACTGTGTAAGATTCAGAAACAAGACTTCTCGTATGTCAAAAACGTATTGAATTTTGACATACGGGAGTACTAGCGGTAAGTCTCGTCTCTGTATCCCACCGTAAGACATGCCGGCTCACTTACCTGCATGGTAAGGGAATATGGTTATTGCAAATTATTTAAAAAATATGAAAGGAACAGATGCAAAATATGAAATAACCCATAAAGCCTTTAATATATATATATATAATGTTCTTTATTTTTTAAGATGACCACAGTCTATGTATCCAATGTCCGCATGATAGAACGTTAATAGCAAAAGCAGGCTTAGATAAAGTTGTTCTACAAAGTCCACGTCTCTTGTCATGTAACGGAAGGACAGCATCCAGAGAAGTTCGGTTTGTTACTATGTATGGGCCAAATTTTGGTGCCCTACTACATCAAGGCTCTTACGTCATAGTAGGAAAAATAATGTATAATAGTCAGGTGAGTAGAAAATTAACTACCTTATTGGTATTTTAATACTTGAAGAAAGAGAAAGACTTCATTGGAGCCTAGTATTGTATAAATGTCTGTGATTGGACGAAACGTGACAACGTGTCGTCTTTCGATGAACACCCAAGTGTTTTTAAATATTTGAAATAATGTATCCATTTATTTTATTATCAATATTTATCTTTGAGTTTTTTTACAGCTCAAGATGTTATTTTCCTAACTTAAAACTACATAAGTAGCTATTTCAATTACTGCTTCCTTAATATTTAACGAAGCGTTTCTTTTTCTGTGTTTTAATAAATAGATATTTTTGAAGTTATACTTCTTTTGGCGCGTCAGGGAAAAGTGTTGAGAAAAAACTTTTACGACGCGCGCGCACATAAAACCGACACCCTGAAGTTAGCTATAGTCAACATTTTAGTTTTTTCTATTGTTAGAGTCGTTTTTGCTACAAACGTAGAATACAATTTTTGATAAGATTTTATCTTGTTACGCCAAAGAAGTATAACTTCTAACGCTTGTACATAAGTACACACACGTTTTTGATAATAAAATACCTTATACACAGGTACTGCAAATGTGTAAAATGCAAGTACACGTAATTCTCCAGTCTCCACGTAAATGTCCACTTCCGAATATTTTACAAGCGCATTGTAATAATGATTATGAATGTAGTTTTACCTGCCAAGACCCTAACTTAGATTTGCAAGGACCCCGAGCTCTTGTTTGTGGCAAAGATTGGAACTGGGAAGGCACTCTTCCAATATGTAAAGGTTGGTTACTAAAGTATTGATTAAAACGTTGTCTGGTTATTTCGCCAATAATTAAATCAGTATTTGTACAATAAATCTAAGCGAAGCTCTTTTTCTACTTGAAATAATTGATCTACAGTTGTTTTGATTAATTAATTGAATTTAATTATTCTGGCTCAAGGTACTAATTTATAAGGCCATACTAATCCATTGTTATTATTCTTTAGATCTTATTCACTAACGCCTATCGAATTTAAATGGAAATGATGGCAGGACCAAGCGTAAACTATGTTATTTATGATTCATCTTTACCGCCATTACTATTATAACTATCCAATACCTTAGCTACTTAATAAAATACTGATGATTGATGAGTACAATACCTAAAGTAAAACAATGTTGAACAGGTCGGAAATGGTGTGTGCCCCAGGAGCCACCAGAACATGGTAGAATAAGCTGTAAGGGCATCGCAGTAGAGAATGGGCCAGGTTTATCTGAAGGTTCAAGGTGCAGAGTCCGTTGCAGGTTGGGGTGGAAGGCTAAACATACAGCAACAGTTTGCCGACGTGGATCTTGGAACCATGAGCTAACGTGTCAACCACGACAAAAAATTACCGTGTAAAATATCACATATGAATTGAATAAAATAAATAATATTCTTGATCATTATCACTAACAAACTGTTTTATTATCTGGTGGACCCGACAGACGTTGTCCTGCATGTATTTCAAGCGATTAGGATAATATTAAACAAAGCATGAAAGTACCGACTGCAGCGCCATCTGCCGAGCTGATGTATGAATCTAAACCATCCAGGGTTCCACCCAAACGTATACAAAAATAATCATTCAAATCGGTTTAGCCGTTATAAGAGGAATTCAGTGACATACACACGTACAGTAGAATTATATATGTTAGCTATCCTATCTTTTAAGATTAAGATCAACCTGCACACGGTGTTCAAATTTGAATTTCAATCAAATTTGCACTGGAGCCCACGAACATAGGCTCCAGCCTCCACCACCACGTGAATGTCGAGGCCATTCAACTCCTTGACACCACGGGCCTAGTGAGAAGACTTAAAAGGACAAAACTATTTGAACTTGTGAATTAGTGTTAGTGCACGTCAGTACTAAATACACAGTGAGTGAAAGAAAAAAATAGAACACAAGAACAGAGTGTCTTCCCCTTAATAGAGACTATAAGTAGTGTTATTGGACACTTTCTTATGTAAAAATCCTTATTAGTAAATTAGGTTAGACTTAAATTACTTATTAGTCTTAAGTTAGGCTAGATTGTAATGTTCCATGATGTCTTAGTAAAGACACATGTATATTAAAAAAAAAAACTTTAAATAGAAGTCAAGTGTCGTCAATAACAAATACCATATCGAACCTAAACCTTCGTAAATCGTAATAAAACATTCTAGATATTAGTGAAAACCACAATAAAATGCGTGCAATAGTTTTTGGCAGACAGACATACGCGATCAAACAAATAGACACAGCGGAGGCCGGAGGACTTGTTTTTATAAAATATAAAACCAACTTATGCCTTCACTGACATTATCAAGCTCCACAAAACAGCCCTTCATTTTCCGGTTAATAGGTATTTAGCCCATGACACTCACAAATAATTAGTAGCTTTCTACTGGTAAAATAATTTTCAAAATCGGTTTAATTATTATCCCCTACAACATTTACCTCTTTATAATATTAGTATAGAAATTTTACCTTTCACAAAATAAATTATAATATTTTTACTTATACGTATATTACCTCTAGGCCTTTTAATTCTTTAGTAAATTTAAAGTCGTTTATAATAGAATTGTTTTTAATAACAAGGCTTACAAATATATTTTAGTTGATAATTATAGCACATATTATATAAACTTTTGCCTTAAGTTGCATCGTAGAAATATGCCATCTAGTGTTGGCTCTAAGTAGCACAGACTAAAAAGGATCTCGTAAATTTCCCTAAAATAATTCGTTTTGTTTCTCATTATTCCTTTAAGTAAATCTAATAAAAAACACTTTATGATTAATCGTTATGATGGTATAAACAAGAGAATTAAACTCCTTTGTGTTGACGTCCAAAGAGTTTTTATGACGACTGTACTGACGCCTACCGGCGACTGCAGTCATTACAAATTTAAAAATAGAATGACAGTTTCAGCCGTTATTGCATTGTTTGGGAAGTAGAATTCCATTCTCTGTTCCATTTTGTAATATTTACGTTTACTATAATAGTTGCTGTAACGACGATGTCTGTTGGTATTTAAACTTAAATGCGTGTATATTCTTTAAATAAAAATCAGTAAAAAGTAAAATGGGGAGCAATATTAGTAAATCGCACGACACAGCTGCTGCAAGCCAAAAAAACGAAACCAGCAAGGACATTGGCGGCAATCCTGATCCTCGTTCGCCAACTCCAGAAATAACTCGGACTCCATTACAGGTATATTTATGTACTTCCGCAATTTTCTATATAATATTAAATATGAAATTTATAAAACCTAGCAATTTTATATTGGGGCGTTAGATTTTATTAGTAAGTATTACGACCTGAGAACACGAAAGTAATCATGCATAGAACATTTTCAGAGATTTCTTCGTGTAAGACTAACTAGATCTTTTGATTTTCCTTCCCTTCATCAAAGTGCTCTAATTTTTAAATTAATTAAAGTTTTGGTTTTAGAACAAACCAGGATCAAAACATCACATTACTAAAAATATGGATTTAAGAAAGGCCTTAGAAAATGACAACAGTGAAAGGAAGCTTATTCATAACAACCCAATTCTATCTGCAGTTATAAAGAACCACTTGCAATCATTTGACCCAAGGTCCCCAACTCAAGACTTTAATAGAACACCTATAGTTATTACATCAAAAACAAGTGATTCAAGGGTGGAACAAATATTTGATGTTAATAGCTGTGGTAGTCCCACTCTGGATAAGACTACACTTGATACTAGTAACATTCAAATATCACCAGCATGTCCTGAGCTTGTACCCAAAAACCTCTACAATGAATTCTATGACCTGAGTCTTAGTGACAGTTTAAATAATGAACCACTTGGTTCGTCAACTGCATCTAATGAGGTATTGGAAAATAATATCTTGCATGGGTCACCTAAACCAACTCAGCTACTGGAGACAAATTTTGATTATGATGAAAATGGTATAATTGAAATCAGTGAAATAGATCAAACTGATGGAATCACAAAGAACAATGAAACATTATTTAGTCTGCTTAACCCAGAAATAAGCAATGTTCCAATATTTAAACTACTTAATGATGACCCTCGATCACCCTCCATTGGCATTGACAGAACACCCATTGTAGTTTCAAAACACGAAGAACCTTGCATTAAAGAAAATGTGGAACAGATGTCTAATGAATTGCTCATTAAGGTATTAGAAAATTCCAATTCAGAGACTAAACATATTATAAATGCAGAAAACAATTCTGAAGGTATTCCTATATATGAGGACATAAGTAACAATTCAAATGATACACCAAAAAAATCAAAGTCTGCCAGCAATGACGGTTCAAGAACACCATTATCATGTATGAAGAATAAAACTGAACCAAGTCATGGCAGATCAAAGTCTGCTAACACTTTGTTTGACCCTAAAGCTAAAAAAGGTTTGTCCCAAATACGAAAACATGTGTCTCATATTCCAAGGCTAAAATCCCTAACAAAACCAAATGGTCTTTCATTGGGCAGCAGTATTTCACTTAAAAATTCTACTATGAATGGAGACTGTGAGAACACACCACCACATTCACATCGCGATAAATGGGACAAAGAAAGTAGCATTGTCCTATAATTGTTTTAATCTTACTGATTTGTAATCTTAGCTAATTTTGTTGTACAAAGTGTTAAAATGTTATTTTCATGTATGATGAATATCATATCTCAAAATAAAAGCTATAATATCTGGGTACAACAAATTTTCTAGCATAGACAAAAGGAAATGGTAAAATTGTGCTTTATAAAAAAATATCATTTTCACTATTGTTTAATTTGGACTAAGACATTTATTATCGTTATTTGATATGAATAAAATGTAACTGACTATTCCATCTTTGAATATTTGTGTAAAATATTTTGCTACATCCAACCATTTTCCTGTTCATGTAATTTGGGTACCTAAATGGAGGCCAAAACAAGAGCGTAGCTACCTAATAGGCTTTCCACCAAGAACCAAACCCTGAAGCCCTGTCTTTTTATCCTATTGAAATTGGCCAATCATTAATAAATTAAATAGTAGTCATTATATATTTACCATAATTTATTGTAAATGAGATGATAAAAGTTCTCAAATAGTTCTGTATGTCATTGTTCCATATGTTACAAAACTTAACTGAAAAATTCTTAGTAACCCTTACTAGATACTTCCTCTATACATTAACAAGATAGAAAATAAATTGCATACTTTTAAAAACATTTTAATCTTATAATTTAGTACATCATATATATTTTAATGTATTCTGTATAGTTACAATGAAATTAAGTGTAAAATATCCCATTATTGACTTAGCATCAGATGGAATGACCTTTAAATATTTATAATTGGTTAAGGGAACAAAAATATTCCAAAATTCACATTAAATTCCATATCTGTCCTGATGTGTTAAACTGTTGTCTTCATAGACCCCAAAGAACTAAAAAAAAATAACTTAATTCAATTTAACAAAATACCTGGCTACCATAATATTGATGAGAAAGAAAAACAAAGTCTATTATTGACATATCACTAAACAAAATACATAACTATTACAAAACTGTATTATAATCTATTGCACACCTAAATTCCCTGAAATTCATTGAGAAAAAAATATCATAAATACAATGTTCAATGAGAACTGGGTTAATTGTTAGCTTGCTAGATTTGAACACACAACAAATCTAGAAACTATTTTAATCTAAACATCTATCAAAACATCAAGATAACGTTATTAAATATTTTAAAAGACAAATACGAATAACGGTTAAACGACGTATGCGTCGACATTAAAAGCTTTTACGTACAACATCAAAACTAAGCTAAATTATGCTTTTTTAACTATAACATGCTAACATTTGTTTTACGGGTTAACATGATGGCGAATGTTGATAACCACTAAAAACATATTTAAGTATATTTGCTTAATATAAAGGTACACAAAAGTATATAAACTACATTATTCTGAGAAATAGCAAAACAATACATTTTATCTTAACTAAGAATGAGGCAACATGTATGTTTACACACATATATATATATATATAAACTTAAAATTAATATGTATACTATAAGCATAAAAAACAAAAAAAACTAGGGTTGAGACTATCAATTTCAGAACTGTAAATTATTTAATTAAGAATTATTAAAGTATAGGGTAGACCTACCAGATGCCTCAGACATTAAATGCACTTTAGAAAGTTATTATGTTCAAACTGACACAAAAATTATGTAAGTATGTATAAATAAATATATCACAGTGAGGGACTTAATTATGAATTTGCATTTCACAAAGTGTAGAACAAAGAAAATTAGTTAAACCTTGAAGGACTTCCTAATAAATACAATGAGCAAATGTTAATCATTCAAATTTACAATATAGCCCACCAAATATTTTTCAAGCAACTTATTCTCATCTACGAGTACAAGTGTCAAACTCACAGCACTTAAGGCAAACTAAACTAAATATCATTCTTTTACAACTATCCTTCATTAGAATGTTTATATAACTTTATGTAGAAAACAATTTTTTTTTCTTCATTGTGTTTGGCGACACAGGTTTGGGGCAAGATTTCTTATACTTAAAAACATCATAAAACCTTTTGAAATAACTCATATTTTAATCGGAAATTTGAGTTTAGTAAAAGTTCCAACTTTACAATACTAGAAAATTTTTAATCTTTACATTATTAGAAGTACTATTTAAAGTGAAAACAAATCAGTCTGATAACATATTTTGTTTTCAATTTCTATAATAGATATAACACTAATAATAATTTAGTTTTTATGATTATACATTTCCTACAAAAGCAAAAATAACAAATTCTTGTAAAATCTAGATTTCTGGGTTAATTAGGATTATCTATAACAAATCCAAGCACTGCTTACTTGTCCAATGAAGCATCTCTCTCTGTAATTAGTAAGGGATGTTAGTAGTCACAAGTAGTCACAGTCAACTTAAATTAAAAAGGGCAGAGGTTTCCAAATTATGTACATGACATTGTTATCACAAGTTAATAAATCAGAAACATTTTATATAAAAAAAACCAAAATTTAATTACTTATGTGGATATTAATTTATAGTGACAAAACCTTTTATCCAATAAATAAACAGCCTAATTGCACAGTAAACTAAAGCACATTTTCAGTAATGTTGTGTTTATGCTGGAATATCACACAAATAATAGTTTATAACTTCAATTCATAATAAGAAGATAATATTATAAGTAGTAGTTGTTATTTTTATTAATTTTGGATGTACAGGATAACATAAATTGTGTAAGTACTAAAAGTTTTGATTTCAATGTAAATAAACAAAATAAATAATTTACATGAATTTTAATAAAGCAAGGTTAAAGTATTACCTTCAACTGCATTATTCATGTTTTTTCCAATAAAATCACGCAACTCTATGTATGCCTTCTCTATACTGTCATTGAGAATAAGAATATGGAAGTTTCCTGGCTCCTTACCTGAAATTTTTTAAACACCTCAATTTAAATCCTTTTTTGAATCACTTTTAAAAAGAAACAGACACATATTGTTAGATTAAATTTTAGTTGAGCACATTTAAATAACGAGAAACTTTTGGCTTTTACTAAAATATTACATCACTCTGAGGGTCTCAATGCTTTAGATGAAACCTTAACAGTAATTGCCAAAATATTTAATCATTGAAAAATAGAGAACAAACTATACTTATATTTTTACACCTATTAGTATTATTAAAATAAAAAGGGTAAAGATAACAAACCATAGATCTGATGGGTAGAGGGGAAGCTAAAAATTATTACATGATATTTATCTATATGGAATATATGCAAAATTTACCTATCTATGCCAGATAAATGTATTAAATTTCATATTTGGAATAAGAGCAAATTTAAAATCTATTTAGGAAAAAGAGCTAATTTGATATATTTTTAATCATTATAGATTGAGGAAAGAACATTATCACCTTTTAAAAATACAACAACAATCTAATATCTAGGATAATACTTTAATTGAGAATAGAGTAAGTTTACGAAGGAATGTGAAGCATACTCTATCTAAAACATGTGCAAATTACCATATTCAATCTCATGTCGAGCTTGTTCCAATCTCTTTTGGAGTGCATCTTCTTGTTCAGTATTGCGATTACGAAGACGTCTCTCAAGCTCATCAATAGATGGTGGCATAACGAAAACAAGCAAAGGATCTAAGTCAGTTCTTTTTATTTGCTTCACTCCTTCAATTTCTATATCAAGGACACAAATTCTGCCTGTACGCCTTACATCTTCAACAGCTTTCTTGCTGTAGAAATAAAATATAAGAAGCATTCATAATATTTAAGAAGTTATATATATTTAAGTAGTATAAGAAGAATAATTTAATAATATGTGTAGGTCATATATAGCATAAACAATCATGACTATTATTAAATTATTGCACATTTAAGTATTCATATACAGATAGGAAAAAAGACTATCAATATTTATTCAACTTTTTTTGTTACCGGTAAATAATGAGTTTTAAAATAACAGCAATTTGGATTTTCGCCAAGTAAACAACGAGCACATGGCGTTCACTTTATAACATACCTTGTTCCATACATATTCCCACTAAAAACAGCTGTTTCAATAAACTCTCCTTTACCAACAGCCGACAACATTTGTTCCTTTGAGATAAAGTGATAATGAACTCCATCTTTCTCACCGGGTCGTGGTCCTCTCGTTGTGTGAGACACGCTAAAACCAAACTTGTCAGGGAATTCTTTCAACAACCGTTTTAATAATGTACTCTTCCCCGAACCTGACGGGCCACAAAGAACTAAAGGACGAGGTCCCTTTTGCACCATTTTAATGAGAACTGTAAATTATTAATTAAAGTAAGCTGTATTAAAGGTTAGACAAAAAAATTATATGTTGTTATTATTTTCAGTCTTCTTACTTACATCTTAGGTGATTCGTGGTCACAACAGTTAGTAAAACTGACAAAGTATTTATATGTTTTTAATGCTTTGACTTTAAGTGAATTAAAATCTCTATGTGCCTTAATTTTATTTTTTTAAATATTAAATCACAATTCACGAGTTTAATGTGTGACCAACTCCTAAAATTTACTAAGTCTCTGCTAAAAACGGCTACTGCTTGTAAATTCCTTTTTTTGAACTATTCTATAAATTATCACAAAAAATTTATTTCTGTATTTCAATTATTATAAAGTTCATTTTTAATAAACGTAATATGTAAAGAAACAAAATCTTAAAGAAAACACTTTTTTACCGGATTGAAGTTATGTATTATTATAAATTTACAATTATTTTACATAATTTTAAATTTTTCTTTAAATGTGTCGAAGTTATGTCAATAAAAGACAAACATAAACTTGTCTAAAAATTAATTGTTTGAATAAACCAGATTCCGAATGTTTCCCCTAAAATTAAGCATAATTTCCTTAAGTCGGTAAGCATGCACAGTACACTTTGGGCGTAGCCACAGACTACGTAATTATAGTAACCACAGATGAACCAAACTAATAATAATGCTAGCCTAGAACAAAGGTATTGCCCACCTTGGTATACTAAAACAGAACAATCATTGTTTAATCTCCTTTATATACTTTAATAATTTAATTCTTACTAAAAGGTAAAAAACTACTCATTTTATACTGTCACTTAAAATTTTCTGCAGATCGAGAGAACTTTTGATTTTTTATTCTCTACGATATTTCTTTCATTATTTGTCTATACCATGTCCATTTCCTACCTCTGGTAAAATTTAGACGAATAACATTCTTTTATTTTAAAATTTTAACCAAACGTACATTATGAAATATAATTTTAAATAATTAAATAAATTAAAAATTTAAATTCTTTTATAAAATTTTGAAAAATAAATGTATAAATAAGTTATCGTAAAAAATTTCAAGTAAGATTCAGTTGACTTCCGGCAAGCACAATCAGCCAATTACGAAAGCATCCTCTTTTTAATACAAAAACGTTTTATTCGTTCGTTATTTTCGAGCTTACAAACGCTTCGTCAACGTCTCATTTTTACAGCTGTTCTTGTTAATGTTTATTCATTTGAATAATTATTATATGCTGTAACGTTCTCATTTCCTTGTAAAACACTAGTTTTATATTTGCTAATATCCCAAAATAGACTTTAAACATAATAACAATGGAAGTTCCAAGGACCAGGAGGGCCCGTCTGGTAAGTATTTCCGACATAATTCAAAATTTTATTTGAATTTATTTTAAGTTTTAAATAACGACCTTCCTTTATTGTTAGCTTCATCATGTCGATGAGAATGCTCAAGTTGTTAGAGGTAAAACCATCGCTTCACGGCCGAAAGAACTAGGATTGACAGTACGCGGAGTTTTAGGCGAAGTAAATGCTAACTCTGAAGTGCACCGTGAATATTCTGGCAAAGTTGCTCTCTCTACGAATCAAATTGAGAAGAAGATTCAAAAACCTGCTTTACGAAGGTAATATTTAAAATTTTAAAATTTTACTACCTACCAATTATTAATAAGAATTATCGTTCCATATCAAATATGGATTTTTAAAAATCACGGCCTAATTATAGTTTATATGACTGAATATGCTATGAAACTAACCTATTGATGCAATATTTAGGACATTATTACAAAAATCACTATAAACCAAATGGACTTAATCATATCTGCTTTAGCAAATCAGTATTATTAAATTACACTGTTTTATTTGTTTTATAGAAATTACTGTCATGTTCAATCAAAAATTGACACTGGGCTGTCTGCAAAGTCCATTCAAGTTTCAGCAAGACCACCTCTTCGACGGGAGGAGAGCACAGCAGGTTTTGCAACTAGGGCCGCTCTACTGACCAGAGTAAGATTATTTAAATTATAGTTATAATTCTACTTTTACATAATTTTCAACAATAAATTATTATTTACTTAGTTTTACTTATGGTCTTCAGTATTTATAATTCTTCTGATAGTATTGTTTTGAGTATAGTTTAAGTATAGTTTAGTATTTATAATATATATGTAATAGCTTGTAGTACAGTTTTAGATTGTTTTGTTTATTTTGTTTAGCTATACTCTTCATTTATATGTATACAAAACATTTTATAGAATAGGTCAGATACTTACCCATGTTTTTAATAGTACTAATTAATGTTATAATTCCAGGCAGCAGCTAAAGAAAATATAAAAAGGGATTGTGAAGGTAAAGAGAATGTTCTTCAAGGAAAGGTTTTGTCTAAAGAAATAAAAAAACCAGTTAAACTTATCAAAGAATTAAAAGACAAAAAACCTGTTAAGGACACAGCTGAATCATTCAGAAAACTGAAAATTGGTGAATCTTTAATTATAAGTACAAGGTTTGAAGAAAACTCATATTATTTACCCGATGACATTGAAGATATAGATGCTGGTGACAATAATCCACTGTTGATGTCGATTTACATTAAGGATATCTACAGATACCTGACTCACCTTGAAAATATATATCCCATTGAGGAGAACTATTTAAAAAACCAGGTTTGTATGGAATTAAAAGTCTTGTATTTATCATTGTCTTTTTTTAAAAACCAATATTTTATTACAGAGTATTATAACTGGTAACATGAGGGCAACACTTATAGACTGGCTAGTGGAGCTCCAAAATCAGTTCTCTTTGTTAGTAGAGACTTTCCAGTTGGCTGTTGGAATTATTGACCGTTATTTACAGGTAATGTTTTATTATAGATTATATTATTATTATTTGGGAACTGTTTGACTAAAGGCATATTTAATACCACCTGCTAGTCACTCTATAAAATAAATAAAATAAAAAGCCTTTTATTTCCCAATTAATAAGGTACATTTCTTTATGTGGTTTTCTAAACCTTTGCAAAACTTAACAAAATCTATTAGTAAATGAATAAATATTATGACTATATTTCTATCATGCTAAGTATTATTATTTACAGTTTTTGATATTCTAATTATTGTATGGGAACCCCTCTTCAGGTGAAGGCCTCTTCCAGCTTTTGCCAGTTTTCTCTATTTTGCGCTATGTGCTGCCATTTGGGGCCAGCAATTTTTTCAATATCTTCTTCCCAGCGTGCGAAAGGTCGCCCTCTGCAGCGTTTTCCTTTAGGTCCTTTCCAGGTCGTAATTTTTTGTGTCCATCTGTCGTCTTTGAGCCTCGCAACATGCCCAGCCCACTTCCATTTTAGTTTTAGTGCGTGGTTTAATGCATCTATTGTTTTTGTTTTGGATCTTATGTCAGCGTGTCAAATTTTTTGTATTTTGCTTATGTTCAGCATGCTGCGCTCCATTCCCCTTTGGCACGTAATGATTTTTGTTTTTATTTTATTTGTAAACTTCCACGTTTGGCACGCGTAGGTTAAACACGGGATCAGACATGAGTCCATGACTTTCTTTTTAAGATTTATAGGCATATCGTTTTTAAATAACTCTCTGTAGCTCCAATATTTATTCCATGTATTTTTAATTCTCCTTTGTACTTCTAGTTCATTGCTACTTTGGCTGAAACCGACTTGTTTTCCTAGGTAGGCGTATTGCTCGACGTATTCTAGTGTGTTGCCGTCTAGGATTATGTCTTTCTTAGTGCCATTTGTCACTCTATATGAAATCATTATAGCTAAAAGGTGGCTACTGAGAAATATGGGGAATTTTGATTAGTTTCTTTAGGTTGTATATCCTGCATATGTGTAACAGGAGAGTGCTAAAGGATTTAACAAGTAGTTAAATCAACATAAGTTTCTGGTTCCTTAAAAGGTAATCAATTTATAATGGATATGCTTAACTTGTGTTTTCACTTATGTTTCACTGTCATTAGTAACTGGTATCCAAAAGACTAAAGAGACCACCAAGTTAAGATAGTTATGTGGTCAGTACAAAAGACATATAGAATTGACAATTGTTTTTTTTAACAACAATATTACCTTTCTCTATCTGAATCGTTAATTAAGAGTAATAAATTTTTTCAGGCAGTATCAAATGTCCCAAAGGAGAAACTTCAACTTATTGGTGTAACAGCCATGTTCATTGCAAGTAAATATGAAGAAATTTATGCACCAAGCATTGAAGATTTTGCTTACATCACTGACAATACATATACCAAAAACGACATAATTAAATGTGAAAAGCAAATTATGACCAAACTAGACTTCTGTTTAGCTCGGCCAATTCCTATTAGCTTCTTAAGACGGTAAGAATGTGTATTAACAATGGTCTTTGTGGCTTACTTAAGTTAGTGGTAATGCACAAATTGTGAAATCCTTTAATTTCAGGAAATAACAAATGTTTTGGAGTTATATGTAATGGAATGAAATATTTGATACATTAATTTCTCTTTCAGGTTTGTAAAAGCAGCCCATGGCACATCCAAGAATCACCACTTGGCTAAATACTTAGTGGATCTTTGTCTAGTCGAGTACTCAATGGCACATTACAGACCTTCCGAGCTGGCAGCTGCAGCCATCTGCCTTTCTTTGCACCTGCTTTCAAGTGCACCACTTGAAGAAGTTTGGTCACCAACATTATCATACTACTCTGGCTACTCATTCTCACATATTGAACCTATTATCAGGAAAATATCTAAAATTGTGTATAATATAGAAAAGTCCAAATTTCAAGCTGTTTATCAGAAATACACTAGCGCCAGTCTAGCAAAAGTCTCGACTCTTCCCCAAGTTAAGGGAACTGCTATATATGATTTGATAAGGAGTAGTTAATTTTAGAATATTTTATAAGTGTGGTTGACTGAGTTTTGTAAACGTTTTAGGTGTTTGTTAGGATTATTTTTATCTTTAGAGATTTGTGATTAATGAATTTTGACATGAGTATATATTTATTTGCATGTAAAGTAGTAAATAAATAAAAAGTAACGACAGTGTTGAAATTTATTATAGAAGAATAATTTTTACGATACCAATGCTAGAAATTTGAGTGGAATGTATATAATGTACTATAATTTTGTGTTGATTTAACAATGTTCTTGACTAAAAATCGACTTGTTATATAAAATTGATAATATAAAAAACTTAATGTTTTTATATCCAGTTATTGTAACATAAGGTTTCTGATTGTACCTTTTTACTTTAAACATTACTGTATGTATAACAAATGCAACTAACAATATTGCATTATATCCTATATAACAATATTCGGCTATTTTGATTCTATACTTTGAATGCCAGTTTTCTTGTTCAGTTTTTTCTTATATCTTACAAATTTACATATTTATTGCTTAATAGTCGTATTGTGGTCATTTTGAGTAGAGCGAATTCTTACAACATTTATACGTCGTTTATGGCTTAATTTTAAATATAAGTAGTTTTGTTAATTAAATGTTTTTTAATAAATGTGTTTTACTTCCCATTATTTTTCACTATTAGCCAATATTGTAATAATTATTGCATATTAAATCGATTAATAAATAATAGATTTTTTCCTAATTTATGAATTTTGTTTCAAAATAAACACCCTAAATATTTTATTTTTATGGTTTGATTAATTAAAAATAAACAATAGAAATTATAAATACAAATTAACGTGAAATTTGATAATTGCTGAGTATATGCCTTTTCAGTAGCAATTGCAGTATTTTTGTTGTCTTTCTTAATGTATGTAATCTTGTGCTACTGAATAAATTTATTTTACTTTTAAATTATAGTGTTCCATTCAAACTTGAGTTTTTGTAAAATTAACTGGTTTATCATCCTTTGGATGTTTTACAAAAAAACATCAATGCATCGAGTATATCAATACATCTTCAAAGCATCGGATTAAGGCTATGTTCACATGTAACGCGCGTCAACGCGCGATCAAATTTGAAGAGCGTTCAGATGATGAGCGCTAACGCGCGTTGCGAGAGTACTCGTCAGTCTAGTTCGGTAGAACGTAGAAAATGGACGTGGAAGAGGCTATTATTTTGTGGTTATATTATAAAGAAAAATATAGAAAAAGAAAACGTACACATTGGGTTTATCCAATTTTGAAAAAAAAATACAATTTATATTATATTTTTTATACAAATTTGCTATATTCCAACTTGCTGACCTTTTTTCTACTTCATCGATTAGTAAGTCGATGTCAATATCTTCAATTTCACTCATTTTAAAAGCGAGAACAAAATATAATTACGAAAATTAATAAAATTACATGCGATCGCGATGAAAGCGCGCGCTCATCTGAACAGCAAACGGACATTACATTAATATCAAAGCGCGCGTCAACGCGCGATCACCTGCGTCTAGAGACTTTTTCTCTGAGCGCCGCGTTGACGCGCGTTAACGCGCGTACATGTGAACAGTTGTATGAAAAATACCATAATCTCTAGTCGCGCGATTTGAAAACGCGCGTCAAGTTTTTGCCATCTGAACAATGAACATAGCCTAAATGTATCGCATTGTAAACATCGATGCATATCGAATGTCCCTAATAGTTCGAGGTCCGGGTGATCTCGATGAAAATCGATTATGATTGATTTTCAATTATAAAAATAATCAATTATTAAATGATTATTTAAAATATCAAAATCGCGTACAAAAATCGATTTTTACTTTTTAAAAAATCGATTTTAATAGATTTTTTTAATAATCGATTATTTTTTCATATCCCTACAACCAGGCGTCAACCTAACGTATGCACGTAGCCAAAGCGTATCAGCAGCTCCTGTACGTCAACTCGGCTACGGCTAGGCAACACCGCGCTTACGGCTCGCCGACCACTGTTTGATCTGGTTGGCACCAGATCAGTTATTAGTGTAGCGAACGGTTATGACCCGGTTTACAATACGTGAGACGTGGGTGGGGTGAGTTGATACCAAAGTTCTCAGCAGATTCAGCCCCACGTCCTTGGTAAAACCAAAACTGATACAATTATTGTTATTTATCTGAGTTTAGGACTATAACAAAGAACATGGTTACCTACTCCATCTAGCAACGTAACCAAAGTTTGAATGTGCTAAGAAGATCGGAATCACAATTGGAAGTTACGTACATTGTTTATCTTTTTCCCTCCATAAGTATGTTTCAGTAATGTGTTTGTACTTTAATTATACCTAACTTTAATCTAAACCTGTTCTAAGATGGCGGGAAATCGTGGAAAATGTAGAAAGATGAAAGGAAGCTTTGTGTTTACCGTTGGATGGAAATTTAATACTAGCAGCTGCTCCTTCTCTTGTGCATCTGTCCGCTTGCTCGTCTTGCTTTCTGCTGCAGCAGGTCCCTTTCCACTCTGTCGATCCAGCGCTAGCGGGCCCAAGATATCTAATTTCTTAGATTATGTACCTTTTTATTTGTGGGTACAACGTGTTTTATACGTTATGGCATTTTTTCTATTTAAAGGGTATCGGTGCCAATATGTATATTAACGTAAAATATACATAATTAAGAAACCCATTTTTCCATACAAACAAATTGAGGTAAAATAAGTCTATAAATTTAGCACCATTGTAAATTCATTCAATTAACTTTTAACACCATTCAATTCATTGCACATTGGCGTGTTATCGGAACGATTTAAGGAATAACCTAGGTACCTACGACCGGAACGTAAATATTATTGCTAAGTTCACTTGTGTTCCAATCATAATAAATTTAGATTAGTAGGATACGACTGTTTTATTTTTAGATGTCCAGAAGTGTCGTGTGAATATTTAAATAAATCTCAACTATACCTAATGTGTGTCGTGTAAGCCTATGATAAATGTATCTTTGTAATAAATTTAATAGGTTCACGTTGATTAAATTGGGTTAACACGTTATTAAACTTAACGTAAAAACCATATGTAGTATCCAGTGGCGTAGCTAGGTGACCAAGGGCCCTGGGGCAAATTAAAAAATGGGGCTCACTGCTATGTAAACTGATCAAAATATGAAATTTACAAATACTTTAAAAATGCTAAGCTACTTAAGCTTTTTTTTGTGCAGGGCAGGTAAAAAAAATATTAAACAGTAAGAACATAAATTACAATTAATACTTGGTGTAGGTTTGGCGAATAAAACGAAATAGAAAAGATTCAAGGGTTTGTTATATAAAGGTCGGGCCTACCAACTGACTAAATAACAAAATTATATTTACAATTTTTTCCTAGCTTTAGTTTTCGCAAAAGTATCAATGACTTCGTTTAAATCCAGGCTTGATGTGGTTTTGTTTTCAATTGTTATCTAATTCGCGTTATACAATGAGCTGTAGCCGAAATCTTTAGATTTGACACGATTTATTGACTTTAACGGATATCAATATGAGTGGTAAAGTCAAATAAAATTGAACAATTATATTGACCAGTACAAACAAGCTTATTGACATTATTTTACTTACATACAGCATACAGCATCATTACTCCTCATACAGCATTCATTTTTTAACCGTTCTCAAAAAAAATCTTAACTCGAATTCACAATAAAACGCACATCGATGAATAAAACGCACATATCACTATCCGTCAAATTGACAACACTGCCAACCTACAGAAAAAATTAAGGGGAATTCCTTAGGCTATAAGTCTATAAGTTTTGAATTTCTCTCAACTGAGTTGTCATGATTAAAGTGGGGTTGCAATCTGTCATATTTATTTTGAAAATAGGAAAATTTCCAAAAGTTTAGAATGATCGAGATTTCTGGTAAGGATTCGAGGGCCCCCTGAGCTTGTGGGCCCCGGGGCACTGCCCCGCCTAGCCCCTAGGTAGCTACGCCACTGGTAGTATCATATGATTTTGTGATCTTACAGTTCTAGGTGTAAAGTGCAAAGCACGACAAGCTATGAAGTATGAACTAGAGCTATCGGCGACATCAAAGAATTTTGTGCTTTGTTTAAAAAAATTAATAATAGTAAGGTATCATAACACATGAGTCGATCTACATCTACTGTATGTTGCATGTACGAAGATTATTATGTGTATGGAAATTATGATTTTATGACGCACAAGTTCTTTTTTAATAAGACGTAGGTAATCGCGTTTAGAATAAAATTAAATATAATATTAAGGTAAGAAACTTACTGCTGTTTCCGAGAAGGTTTTTTTTTTTGCGGCACTTCACTTTAACGGTTAACTTTTAGTGATGTCTAAGAAAATTATTTTGTTGTTAGCAAATATTAATTCACATAATTTGTGCCTTTAGTTAATTGGTGTTTCTATCCCTGGGTTCTTAAGCTACTACCACTATTACCACATCACTTATTAATTCCAATTGGGGATTTACAAATCTCAACTTTATTCGTAAGACTTAAGATTATTACGCGCGCATAAGGGATAGGCACCTGCGCGTGGACAAATTACATAATTAAATTCGGGCACAACGAGAAATCGACTGAGAGGTCAAAAGGTAAGAGGGACTGGGCATGGGATGGCGTGCGGGGTCTTTTGCCTACTACTAGATAGATATATTTCCCTTCGTTTCGCATAACAGCGTAATTCAAAACGGCAACGTCTCTTCTAAAAACTGTCAATGGGAACTATTCAATGTATTTTACTACATACAATATGTTGTTTGTTGTAAAAAAAGAAAAAAACATTATTATGACTAAACGGCTTTAAACAGATTTAAATCAAATTTTGAAAATCGTCTAAAGGTGCGTATCCATTAGAGCAGCCTCAGGCCGAGCAGCCTCGACTTGAAGCAAACCGAGGCTGCTCACTCCGAGGCATAGGCTCGAGGCACGTTGCGGATCAAGGTGAGGCATGTCGCCTCGCCTAGATCCGAAACTAGTGTAAAGTAAGAACGCGAT